GGTTTGAACAGAAACCACAAGCAATCCCAGAAAAACAGCGGGCCCATCGAATTTCCCATATCCTCAGTTTTCACCGTGGCTCATGTGGAGAAGCTCCCATCCATGGAAACCCATTTTTTCCCGCCCCCAAGCCTGTGTTTTGACCAAGCCGTGTTTTTCCCCTAGGTTTCTGGGCAACTCACAAACACAATCGCAGTGCCTGTCAATTTCTCACCAATTGGAGGGAAGCAGGAAAAAGCGGGGGAGACCCAAGGATGCACCTGCAGAGTTCCCCCTGGCAGGCAAAGGCTTGGGTTCACCTTGGGTTCACCCAGGTTTCCCCCTAGAGTTCACCCATGCAGAGGTTCCCCCCATGTTTTTTCTCGTCTCATTTGGCCGTCACATTCCAAGAGGACGCCTCGCTGGGACCTCGGCGCCTTTCTCTGAGATTTTTCGGGGAGTTGGTGAGAATTTGAACGCCGAAGGAACGCGGCAAACAAGGCGCAACGCGTTTCTAGGGGTAGCTTCCAATTCCAGGGGATCTGGTTCTCTTTTCAGGAGATCAAACACCCAGCAAAAACAGATCCGGGTTTTAAAAAGAACGATGGTTGAAAAGAAGGGAAAAGGCATCACCCCCTATGTTTCCATGCACCACGGTTTCATTTTTCGGGGGGGTTTACCCTAAACCCCTTCCAAGTATCGAACCTCCATGGCTCGAGCGAGCGACTTGTGGCCCGCCGAGCACTAAGGTGGTGCTCGTGATGGCCGCGGCGTGGGTCACCAACTTTTTCGTCACCGTGCACCCTCTGCTCGAGGCGCGAAGTTGCCCAAGCTGGCGGGAGGGACCTCTTTGGGGGCCCTGGGAACCGGATCTCACGACTTAGGATTGGACAGATGGAGATATTGCCCACCCCCTGGTGGGTCTTTTTTGGGAGTCGGTTTTCACGGCTGGATGGTTTGCTTGTTCTTTGTTGGTTTTCAGGGAAACTTGGAGGCGTGAGAACATGTTGCGGACAGGATTGCTTTATTTTGAACATGTTGTGGACAGATGTTGATTTTCTCCCTGGTTTTGGGCATGCTTCACTACTGGATTGTTTTTCCCTGTTGGCTTAGGAGTCGATTTCGCGACTGGATTGTTCGCATCGATCCGATCCAAGATCCTGGGAAAGCATCGCTCCAGCACGCGAGCGATGAGTCACGAGAGATTGCCGGCAAGAGCGCGAGGTGGTGTTGGATTTCCTAATCTCCTTTGTTAGAGCCAGAAGGGCCCGAACAGCGACTAGTTAACTAGTTCGCGGTCAACAACCTGAAATCTGAACGGTCGCCAAACAAAAATGTGAGACTTCCGGAGCCAAAGAGGGGCACAGCCATCGTGAGTTTTGTGGTTTGAGGGTTGATCCTTTTGAACATCTTTGTGGATGTTCCTCATGCCCCTGGGTAAAAGAAACATTTGTTCGAACATAATTTCGGATTTTCCTCTGAACCTGCAACAGAATATATTTTTTGCTTGAGAAAGTCACACTCAGGGTGACATTGGGTTGCCTGGGAAGGTGTCATAAGCGCTTGGGAGCGTTGGGCGAGGCCTTTTTTTATTCTTACGCACTGACATTTTGCAGCGGGTCGAAATCACAACCCATGGACACCATTTTCATGATTTTGGGGACCATGTTAGGTCATTTCGCCAGCGATCGATTCCAGGGTGTAAGAGAAACACCCTTGGAAACAGGAGGTCGGTTGAACAACAGAAGAAGCACTGGGTTGTTTGGCGTGCCGGTGTTTTCGCCCGAAATCCGGTCAAACCGACGGGGGGTGAGCTTGAGGGATCCTACTGACTCCAAACAACTCCTAATCAAATTTCACACGCGCACACCCAAATCGGCTTGTGGCTTTTGGCTGAAACATGAAAAGGCATTGCCTTCGCCTTCGACTTGTCTTCCTGTACAGCCCTAGGCGCCTGTCTGAATCGGGCTCGCAACGTAGGAGCCAAAGCCCGTGTGAAGGGGAAGGTTTCCTCTGGAAGTGCCCCCTCAAAACATGCCGGACTCAATTGGCCTTGGATCACTCTCCGTGCCAGAAGGATTTTGCCAGGGCATCAGAAGGCCTGGTTGTAATCCCGATAGCTGGTTGGTTCTTTTTGAAGGCTGTCAAAAAGGGGGGGGGTCCTCAATGTTGGACGCCCCACATAGAGAAGAAATCGAGACGCACTTTTGATTGCGGCCAGGAAAACGATGACCCTCCAGATTGCAAGTATGCCTTGAACCAGCTGAAGTGAGCCGCTGAAATCGCGGAAATCGCTTTCGGGCAGGGGTCAGGGGAAGTGAGCGACTTGGCCGACAACAAGTGGCTAGTTTGGACAGGGGGTCTGCCCCCCCCTTTTTACTTTAGCGAGCACCGTGGCAATGCCGACTCAGCTCCGTGCCACACAAATGCGGACTCCCCCCCAAAGTAATATATGTATACATACATGAATATATATATATATATATATGTATATATATATGTATATGTATATATATATATACATACATATACATATACATACATACATACATGCATATATATATATATATGTGTATATATATATATATATATGGCGCAACATGGGAAAAGAAGTCGGCCACAAGAGAGCCGCTGGCCTGGATGGAGCCGGGTATTCTGGGCCAGCGATTCCATCAACTTGAGTGCAACTCATTGGATTTGGCATGGATCGTGGGTTCAGGAGTGGATTGCTAGCTCATTCGCAGCACTCGACAGCTGGTTCGGGCGCAGATCTCTGGAACCTGCGGTTCTGAGGGAGCAGCCTACATTTCGAAGCAAATCTCTTGAGCCTGTGTTACTTTCTCGCTTTCTTGGAATTGGTTTCCGGAGTTGGTTGAATTGCTTCCGGGGCTGTGGGCTTGGACCAAAGTTCGAAAGTTCGAGCGCCAGGTACAATGCGCGGGTGCTGTTTGTCTACTTTGTGTGGTTCTTCGTAGCAAGATCCTCGCTCTTCCTGCAGCTCGGCGAAACGATGAGGAGCCTGAAACCGTTAGGGCTGACCTAGTTCAGATGAGCCGCGGTCATTTGTCCGCAATTTGGTGAGGAAACTTATGTTGAAATGGCAACTTTGGCAAGTGTACCCAATCTCATCCCCTTTAACTAGAGTAAACAAAATGCTCGCATCACTTGTTGCAGGCCACTCCGACCCCTTCCAGCCTTCCAGCCTTCCAGCCTTCCAGCCTTCCAGCCTTCCAGCCTTCCAGCCTTCCAGCCTTCCAGCCTTCCAGCCTTCCAGCCTTCCAGCCTTCCATCCACATGGGTCTGTCCTTTTTGTTGAGAGTGCCAGCTTTTCGGGGTTTGAAAGGAAACCACAGGGACAACCACCATTTTGGAGATCCTCACAGATGTTTGGCGGACGGAAATTTGGGCTGCCCTTGATTAATCGTACCCGTTGAAACCAAATGGGAAGCTAGCCCCGAACTGCGAGACCTTCCAGAGAAATGGTCCCTTGCAGAGGAACAGTTGCCAACCAGGACGCCCCGGTCAGGCTCCATGTTGGTATGTGGGAGAGAGGTACATTCCATAGAAAGAATGAGCACCAAGAGGTCAAAACAATGAGCATTCACACTATGCCTGAGATTGGCTGATCGAGAATTTGCAAATGACGAAACATTTGGATGTTGGCTTTCCTATGACCAAACTTGTTCAGAGGATTCCAACTGGGGCTGTTGGGGATATCACCGTTTTTTTTTTGCTTTCAGCTTCCCGGCTTCCCTTTACATGCCGACAAGGGCTGCTCATGCCTACTCATTGATTTTCTTTGTGAGTCCACTTCCAATTTTGGACCTGAGCTTTGCTGATTCACCCGGGGCTCGTTCAGCTTTGTGAGCCTTTGGAGGTCACTAGTCACTCGTCATTTGGTGCTTCCAATTTTGGCCGTCGGATGTTTCCTGAGATCGTACTTGTGCTTTTGGTGTGACCTATCTCTTCATTTGCTTGCAGCCCTTCGGTTCGGAGTTGATTCTTGAGGGTAGATGGGAACCACTAATCCAATCCAGGAGTTTCCATTTGAAGCCCCTGGTTCTTGAGGGTACATGGGAACCCACACTAATCCAATCCAAGCCACCTAAAAGCTGAGCCATTGAAGGGGGTGGATGCCCGAACCACAAGTAAGCCACTCCTCCGTGGGTGCTCAGATGGCCATGGGCTTTTCAAAACCCAAATCGGGTAGCCCCCAGTGAACATCCGATTCAATCCAACCACTAAAATAGGTTCTAAAAAATGGGTGGTGAATTCACCTATCCCAAAATGGTACCATTGGTTTTGAACCATGGCCATATGGAGACGACAAATCCATGCGGAAAGCATGTGGGCTTCTGGCGAGCTGGCGCGAAGTCAGGCCTTGCATTCTGGTGCGAGTCGGTGTGGGCCCCGGGGGCTCGGGGCTCCGGGCGTCCGGCTGCATCTCGCGGCGTCCAAATGGGTTTGACAGAACTTGCGGAGGGGCCACGGGTGCCTCCAATCTGGTGGTTGTCCTCTTTGTTTGCCGTTAAAAAAAGGGAAAACTATCAAAAAATAGGGTTTGTCTTCGTTTAAAACCACCAACATAGGGTACCCTCAAAAAAGACAGACCCACCTTGTTCCGGCATGTCATAGATCTTTTGTAGCGCATGGGACTGATTTGGACGTTGAACACGAGGTGGTGGTTCTGCGCAGCTTTGGGTGTTGGGGTAGTTGGAACCCAGACCTGTGGCATTTTTCTGGTTTCTCCCCGATTTTGTTTTAGAGAGGGGGGAATCCTCTTTAAGATCAGCTACCAAAAAATGACATGGTCACAGGTGTGATTGATCTTTCTGTCTCTGAACGTTGAATCCAGGTGCTAGGCTTGGCGAGTCGGGGTCACAGTGGGAACCTCTGGTTGATTTTTGTTTGAACCTCTTGATGAACAGGGGTATGTCCCACGTAAAAAACCAAGGGGGGGAACATTCACTATTCTTCCCGGGAGCAAAGTGAAGACCCCTCTATGCAAAAAACAAGCACAACAACAGGTTGCTTGGTCTGGTGTCGCCCGGCCAGCTTGAGGCTCTTGCTTGAGGCTCTTTTCGGCCCATTTGCTGGAACCTTTGCCTGACCTTCTGAGCCGACTGCAGGGGATGTTGCTGTTGATGATATTGTCCGCACCAGAGCGGCCCCTGTCTGGATCGGACATGATTTGAGATCTAGTTGCTTGGCAAAAGGACGACTCATCATGTATGGTTCCCTGAATAGAATGGAACAGAGGGGAACACTTGGGCTTTTGTGAACCACGTCGGGTTTGTTTTTTCAGCCAACTATACACACCCAATGCAAATGGAGTCAACTCAGAAGCCAAAGCCTTGGCGAAGTTCCCACGAGTTTTGCTTGAACAACGGCTTGCGGATCTGCTGCGCCAGCCACCGTGCAATCGCGGACCCACGGCTTTTGTCGCACGTGCGCCGTGCAGTTTTTTTCTTTTTCTTTTTTTTCTTGGCTGGAGGGGAGGAGGGGAGGTGGGCGAGAGAGCCGTTGGTTGGGTGTTTGAATCTTGAAGGCAAAGCCTTGCGTGGGTTTGGGGGCCCTGGAAGACACTGCCAAGGGGAAGAACAGGAAGGGAAAAAATCGCAGGCTGTATGAACCACAGCCTACAAGAAAGACGGTGTAAATGCATACGGGGGGTCTTGAGGCTGTCACGACACTCTATTTGTCAGTCAGGTACAAATAGGCAGCGCATCCGCTCAAAGAGGGAGCTCCAAGCAGTAGGTATGCCCCAGCATGGACTAGGATCAGCAATCATGGTGGAGGATCAGTGGCACCCTCAAATCAAAAGAACTCATTCGTCAACAAGAGCGAGAGAGAGAGAGGGAGACAACGAGAGAGACAACGAGTGCGATGGGGGCTCCTCTTCATGCTGCGAGAAGCATTGGATGCTAGCTTTTCAGGATTGCCTTTCGGGAGGGCTGAGGGTTTTGCATTTGATCATCCATGGGGGACAACCCAATGTCTTCTAAAACCCGCACGGAGAACCCAAGGAATGTTTTTTTTTTTCCGTGGCTCCTCTCCGCCAATTGCAAGTCGCTCAGTTGCCAAGTTGCCCAGATCAATTGCTCAGTTTCTGGCAGCTGAAAAGATCACCCGTGAAAGGTACTGCGTGCACCTTCTCATCCGAGATGGTCCGATCTACATCTTCTGCGTGCTGGGCTCGGGCGGGTCCGAAAAAGAAAAGAAAAAAAGACAGGACACAAAAACACAAAAACAACAATTTCCAGGAGGTGCAAAAAGATGAAGGTCTCTCAAGAGATGAAGGTCTCTGCTTTGATGTTTAAGGTTGTTGTTTGAGAGGGCAGCGTGCTCTCGCTCCAATCTGTGGAGAGGTCCGACTTTTTTTTGAGACCCTCACCACTCCCTTTTGCGGACAAAACATCATATGTTTGACGTCGTGGCAGTTCCTGATCCACTCGGAAGCCTTTTATACCCACAAACGCCTTGACGAAAAAACATTTTGGCAGAGATCCACACGTTTTCCGCGGTTGAAGCCGGGGCAAATGTCCCACTGCACCGAATCCATCGGGTTTTGTTTTTGGTTCGAAGACTTCCTCAGGTGGGCTCGGTGCTCTTCTGGTTCAACATCCTTCGCTCCCCTGGCTGCGAAGACAGGACGCCGACAGAAGCCACTCGGTGCGAACGTCCTTCGGTGCATTCGCTCCACATGGGTTTGACGAGTTTCGGCGCAGAGGCCAGAGAACTACTGGTAGCATTTCCCTGTATTCACCACTAGACATGATCTTGTACCCCGAAAGCCCACTCCAATTGCTTGGCGCCCATCCACCGGTCTCAGGGAAGCGACCAGGTCCAGTTGCATTGAAACTGGGCCCAGGAGCTCTTCCAAGTTCCGCCTTTGGTAGTGGTACATCACGTACACAAGGGCCAAGTGATTTTCACATGAAGGGAAACCTCAGGCTGTCGCGAGGCATTGGGGTTGCTGCCCTCAGTCCTTCCCCGGTATCGACCTGCTGTCTTTTTGATGGTGGATGCTTACATTGCCATGGTTTGTGGCTAGCTTACTTGTAGTATTTATGGAATCCACTCGCAGATATATTTTTGAGGCCTGGGGTCTACGACAAATGGCAGTTCCAAATAAAAGCGTATTTCACTAAAGAATACAGAATATATAATTCCTAAGTACAAGCAACACTCTTCGCCTCCAAACCTGCGAGGGCCCGACTGAAAGCCGCGCAACTTAAAAAGAAACGCTTTCTGTGTCCCACTGCCAGGAGCCCGGACCTGCGGCTCGGCAGAGTCAGTCTGGAAAAAGCCTTGGCTCGGTTTTGAGGGCGGCCCTTCTTGCGGCGCCTTCAAAGAGCCTTTTGCTTGCCTGCACAGCAGGAAGTGGGTGGGTTCAGCATTCAGCGGCTCATGGCGGCTGAGTATTCCGTTTGGTTGGTGCTTGCATGAAAGCTAGCCAAGGGACCGGTTCCCTTGGACAGAATCTTAGGCGACACAAAGCGCATTTTTGCCAGGTACTGCACCGTATGGCGCAACGTTCCCTTCAAAGCCGCAAAGGAGGTAGCCTCAAGAAAGGAGACGCTCATGAGTGAGGCTTTGTTTGTGGCCATTTTGGTTCAGTGGTTCTACATGGTTTGACATGGAATATGGCTCAACCATAGTGATAGAGCTATAGAGACACCCCGACGGAAACAAATGGGCCCGAGTATTGTTTTCCGCTTCCATCTGATTCACGAAACAGGGGTGGCCAAGTTCCCCACGGGTTGCTGTGAGCGAAAGGTTTTCACAACAAAAGGAGTTAGGGCCTTGAAAGAAAACCAGGCTAAGAATGACATGAGCTTTTGTGGGTTTTGAAAATCCTGACTTAAATGTTTGGTGGACCCAACATTTTAGTGAAAAGGATGTCCACCTATACGGGTCCCCAACGAATCTTGTTCAGCGAAAGCATACGCGCGCCTCGATTTTGGCACCGTAGGTACGAACAGCTGAAGATGTATGCTGTGTTCTCTTGCCTGCCGCGAGCCCGGAAAGTGACAGGCATAGGCGTCCTTTTTAGGTTAGTTTCGTTAAACATGGTACTGGTTTAGATGGATTTTATTCCATTTACCAGGGCCATCTAATTTTCCAAAAGGCCACCTATAGTGACAGGGGTGGGAACTTGCAGGGTTGGTTTACCCTTCCACCAAATAACATTAATGCAAAGTGCACGGACTGCACAAAGACTGCTCTTGGACGGGGGCTTTGTGCACTTTCATGTTGGCGGCAGGGTAAAGGGAAACCAACTGGAAAGTCACATAATTTGGACAGGTCCCCAATTATTGCCCGGTTTTTATCCCAGGCATACCTGTGTTTCCCCTTCAAGGCAATGTGGCCATGTGCAGTGAGCGTCCTTTTGTGGTGCTGTCTACCGGTGAAATAAAGGGAGTCCTGTCAGCGGGTCCTTCAAAAAGGGCATGGCCTGGTTTTCGTTGGATCCTTTTGCAGGGCTCCTTAAAAGATACATTTTGCAACCATTTGAAGCATGGCTTTTTCCACCAAAATAAAGTTGGACACCACCATTTACATGTTGCAATGTTCAGGTGTATAATGCATCCGGATCCCTGTTTTGTGACTCCCTTGAAGGGAAACTCAAAGGGTCGGTGGTCCCAAATTGGGGCCTTGGCTTTTTGGAGGGCTCCTCTTTTTGGCAGCTGTGGGAAGAAGCCGAGCCAACCATTTGGAAGCTCGTCGCTTGGTTTCAGATGGTTTCAGCTCATTGGGAAATGCCTAAGGTTCTAAGTTTGAGGTGAGACAGGAGTGCTGATCATCTTGCTGGTGCTCAGGGAATGTGGGAACGAACCCAGGCTTCGGTCCCCTCAAAACGGAAAAGAACAACACAACAACACCAGTCGGACGGCTTATGGTCAGTCCACTTCTCATTCCCTGCCTCTCTACCAGCGAGTCATATCGGTCCTTGGACTTTCGACCTGGGCAGGGAGCGCCGGGGTTTCACCAAGATCCGGCACAGAACAGGGGAAAAAGGGGGGATTTAGGGGAAAATGTTTTTTGTTGTTCTTCTTTTTGTTCTTCTTTTTTGCTCAGGTCACGTTTTTGTTGGTGGAAAAGGGGGGGGGTTAGGAGCAGTTTCCGAGAGGAAATTCGCTGCCTGCTTTACCTTCCCTCCCAGGAAAGTGTGGCACTGACAGAGGGTACAGTGGTTGGACAGGAATCCCGCTTTGGTATCGCAAGTTTCGCGCGCTATGTCCCACGATCGTGCTCCCTAGGATTCGCTCAAACAAGGAGTTCACCATGTCTCCAGAGCCCAAGCCCTTCAGTACCAAGCTGGGTACCCCACCCCCCGAAGAAAAAACACACACAACCACACAAACACACAAACACACAACCAGACAAAAAACACACACACACACAGAGACAAACACAAGCACAAACAAACACACACACACAGAATTGGGTCAACCATTTATCAGAATGGGGAAAACACCTAGGGTTTATGTTTTATCTCCCACAGCGGCTTGAGGCTCGCCTTCGCGTGCATTGTGGAGGTCTACTGGCACAACAAGCCCCCTGGCGCTCATTTGTATGTGCGGGACGCGCCGATGCATGTGCTGGGTTCGAACTGTGAATAGACCCAACGAAAAGAATCCGGGGCTTGGCTGGCGGTGTTTTGCACCGTAAGACTTAGTTGGTTTGGGTTACACCTTTTATGGCCGAACATGCTAATCTGGAACCCTCTCCTGCGACAGCCACCCCCTCAATGCAGGCACAATAGGCTTTTGAATCGTGGGCTGTACTTCATGTAAATTGGTTGGCCCGTCGGTTGAAGATTGGATCAAGTGCGTGGCAGCGCACACATCATTTGGCTCCCTTGCTTCGACGGGATGATTTGGCCCCTTTTTTCTGGACTCCAAGTGGTACGTTCAAGGGACATGACCGCAGGACTCCCACGTTTATGTTTTTGAGGACAAGGATTTTTCAACATGACAGGTCCAGATTCTGACATGCGGGTAGATTCAGGAGACCTTGGGGGAGTCTATTTAGTTTCGGCTGGCCGAATTAACCCTTGAATAAGGCTTTTGAAGTTGCTACTGGCCAATATTGGACCATAGACCCACAGAGGTTCATGGTGCAAACAGAGCTGAGAGCTCGCGGGTGTTGTCTCGTTTGGGTCATCGGACACCTTCCTGATCTTTAGCCTTGCCCTGCGTTCCTTAGGTGGATTTCTGTAAGCGAGTTTCTGATGTTAACTTCCAATTCCGGAGAATGATCTCCCACAGGAAGACGCACCCCTGATTTGTATGGTCCTCTGGATTGACCCGAAGTCGACATCACGACCGGGGGATGCTAAACATGCTCTAAGAAACGAGCTCCAGCTTGCACCAAAGGACCATCATGCGTATCTTGGGTCGCCCAATATGGCCATGGGTCAAAAGCCCGTACCCCCAGTGAACATCCCAATCCCCACTAAAATAGGTTCTAAAATGGGTGGTGCACCTACCCCCAAATGGTACCATTGGTTTTGACCCGCAGCCATATGATCATTTTCCCTCGAAGCCGGTTCTGAGGTTGATCGCCAACACTTTGGAGTTCTACTCTGCCTGGATTCCTGAGGCACTTTGGCGTGGGCGAGCAAGGCAAACTGCGAGTCTGCTTAGGGAATGACCCGTTGGTTGCCGTCAAAAACGGAACGAAAGCAAGTCATCTATTTGAGGTTTGGAGAGTACGAGATCTACGTCAACCATTCTTTGAGGTTTGGAGAGGCTTGTCTTCTTGGCCGCTTGGGGAACGACCTGTGATCAATTCCCGATGGGCACGGCTGTTGCTTGGCCTTTTGGGGTCAAGGGGGATTTCCAACCCCCCTGTGGTCAGCTTCTATGATTGTTGGAAAGAGGGTATCATGCAGATAACCATCGATCAGCCGAGGGTCCTGGGCAACCACCATGAGATTATTTGAGCATCTCATGACAAACGGATAGCACAACCTCGTTCCCTTGGTTGTTGGGCTGATTTTCTGGACTTGAAGTGAAACAAAAGAACACAGAGGGCTATCTTGGGCTTTGATCGAATCTGCTCCGCTGGTAAAGAACGCCTATATCTTCTAGTCGCTCACCGAATCATTTTGGTTGGCTTCGGTTATGTAGTCACATACAGATCTGATCTCCAATCAGCATAAGGGGAAAGAGCAGGAAAGTGCCCTTGAGGTGAAAAGATGAGATGGCATGATGAAAGAAGAGACCCATGAATAAGCGAGGGAACGGAGATAATGATGGATGGGTCCCTTCTCTTCCCATCACCAGCTCTTTCCTTTCATAATTTCATTTGCAATCCAAATATGAGATTATGCTGAGATAGAAAGTGAATCAGGATGAACCCGCTGTTTCCACAATATGAAGAAGATAAGCATCCAAGAGTCTATTTCATAAGCTGGAAAACTTGATGTCGGAAGGTTGGGAAGCGGCGGTTGATGGGATAGAAGGGTGTTATTTATCGGTTTCCCGCCCGAGCCAAGAGAGGAATTTGGCGAAGTGTATACAATGCAATGGAGCCATGGAAACAAGAAGCGAGCCATACTGTGGACCTGTATTCAGATCGGGTTCCATCCATCCCAACTGTCGCGTCCATCCAAAGGAAGGGCTTGGTGCTTTTGCAGACCACCCTTTTGCCCTTTTAACATTCTTTGACTCTTGGTTCAGGGAGAAACCAAAAGGAAGCCCAGCATTGGGTCTCCCTGTTTCAACACATATCCAGGTCCAAATGTGGCCCTGGGCATGTCATCCAAAACCTTTGAACTTGGGTTGATTGAGCTGGAGCTTTCGCAAGGGACTCGCATGAAATGAGAGGACTTTGTCGCGAGCGGACTCCTTTGGAGCGAGGCTTCCTGCTTGGATCTTTCTATGCGGAAAAGGCTTTGCACTGGATGCAAGGAAGTATGTCAAGGGGAAATGCAGGGAGGACTTTCATGATGACAGCCGATGAAAGACCCCATCATGAAAGGACCCCTGTTTCAGGTTCCCGCAGTTGTCCCCTTTTGGTCCAACTTAAGGAGAGTTCTTTGGGTGATAAAATTGGGTTAGACATGAAGGGGGTCCATTATCATTCGTGGACTCCTCTCAACATGGCCTTTTGGATTTTATGTTCAGAGTTCCCTTTGCACGCTTCTGGCGAAGGCATAGGATCGCAGGCGTAGGGCGAGAGGAATCGCGGTCACAAGATCCGCGTGTTTTCGGAAGGGTTCTAAAGCCCATTTCACTTGGTTATTCTCAGCTGTCCCCTTGGGTTTTAGGTTCGTAGGGTTTAGTGGTAGTGTTCATTTAACCCACTAAAAGTTAGGAGATCTGAGGACAGCCCATCTCAGTTTGAAATCCAAAGGATTCCCTTCCACTGAGTTTTGAGGCTGCTTGAAACGCAAAGAGTTCTCTGAGGGTACATTTGCGTGTGTCTTGACATCGGGGGGCCCACAAAATCATGTGAGCCACAATCAGAACCCGGGTAGATGAAGGTCAGTACGGGAGAATCCCAACCATAAATAGCTGCGGCCGCGTTCTTTTTTTTTTTTACATGGTGCTGGGTAGACCATGTTAATACCAGGTTTTGATTCTAACTCACGTGTTTCTTCCTTTGGTTGCCATGAAACAACCCCCCCCAAGCAGAGAATCAACCCCTGCGGGCCAGGCGTCGCGGCGGGCCGGGGCCGCAAATGCTGAGCTTGCTGTCGGTTTCCCTTGACAAACATCTCACTGCATGAAAGGGGTCGCCTCAAGAAAGGCCAGAATGGTTGGAATCTAGGAAACAGGATTCAGTTCGAACTTGTTTTCAAATAGGCTTCCCTTTTGGAACCTAAGAAAAGCAGGGGCTCCCCAGAAAAGCCACACTCAACAAGTGATGGGTGGAGCCAGTGTTTGGATGGATTGAAGCGGGACCTAAGAGGGAAAGTAAAGGACACCAACGGGAACACGTCAAAGCGTCTGCAGGTTGGGGTCCAGACACTTTGATTCTCTTGTGGATGGCATGAAAAAGAGACCCATGGTGCCATAATCGCGATGTTTTGTTTCGTTTTAGGCAATTCCCCAAATGAGGAGAGTGATCACCTTGCTGGTGTGATAGGCAGAGAACGAGAAATGGAATGCCTCCGACCTAAACACCATCCAACTGGTGGTTTCTTTCTCCTTTCTTCGGGGATTCCAACTCATTCCCAACCAACTGAGCACCAGCAAGTAGTCGATGGATGGATCAGATGTCCCCCAGCAAAGGGTGTCAGAGAAGGGCTATGTAGCGCAGAAACCTTTGCTTTGGCAAACCAGCGTCGCTGAGTTTGGCGGGTGAATCCAACATGGGGCTGGCAGTCGGAACTTTGTGTCCGTACAAATACACGCACACAAGGGGAAGCAACAGGAGTCAGGCTGTGCACTCTATTGCTCTCTTTTTCTCTTTTTCTCTTTTTCTCTTTCTCTCTTTCTCTCTTTCTCTCTCTCTCTCTCTTTGTTTCTTTCTTTCTTTCTTTCTTTCTTTCTTTCGTTCGTTCTTTCTTTCTTTCTTTCTTTCTTTCTTTCTTTCTTTCTTTCCTTCTTTCCTTCTTTCCTTCTTTCCTTCTTTCCTTCTTTCCTTCTTTCCTTCTTTCCTTCTTTCTTCTCTCTCACTCTCTCCCTCGCTGTCTCTCCCCCCTGTCTCTCTCTCTCTCGCTGTCTCTCTCCCGCTCTCTTTCTCTCTCTCTCTCTCTCTCTCTTTCCTTTTTCTCTTTCTCCTTCTCTCAGTCTTCTTCTCTTTCTCTCAGTCTCATTCTCTCCGTCTCTTTCTCTCTGTCTCTTTCTATCTTTCTCTCTCGGCCTCTTTCTCTTTCTCTTTCTCTCTCCTCTCGCTCTCTCTTGCTCTCTCTTTCTCTCTCTTTCTCTCTTTTTTGCCCCCCCTCTCTCTCTCTCATTCTCTTGCTATTTCTCCTTCTATTCCGCTTTCTTTCTCTGTCTCTCTTTTTGTCCCTCTCCCTCTCTCTCTTTCTCTCTTGCGGGGCTTAAGAAGACTTGACCATCCAGGCGACCCTTCTCCGGGGCCCGGAGAGGCCGCTTTCAAACGACCGTTGGAGGCATTGGATGCCTCTAACCAAGTTTGAGACAAAGCTTGTACGGGTGACTCGTCTTTTTTTCTTCTCTCTTGGTGGCTCCCAGCCATCCGGATCCGTAGCCTTTTAGATTTTTAGTGTTTAGTGGTAGTTTCCATTCAACCCACAAAAAGTTGAATTTTCAGCGGGGATCTGAGGGCAGCGCAGCTCTGATTTGGGGACAATGGACGTCCATTTTTTGGGTCTGAGTCCTCACCCGTATGGAACCCTCAAACTGGAGCTAACTTCCGAGCTTTACTAGGTTTCGCAGTAGTACCCTTTTACCTTTTTTTCTTTCTTTTGGGAGGGTTCCCCTACTAAAATAGACTACAGAAAAAAGAGTACCCTTATTCTAACCTCCTAGTTTACTACCCCAGTCGTCTCAAAAAAGCAGAAATCCCTCGCATGAAGACCCAAGCAGAACCCGAAACAGCTGCGCCAAGGATTAGCCAAGGACAAGCCCTTCATATGTGGGCGTGTCTTTTGGTTGAGGGTACCGCTTTTTGGGTTAGTGACAAGGGAAGCCAAGAGGAAACCATATTTTTGGGGTTCGCCCATTTAGATACATTTTCAATTGAGGTCTTGGTTCACTGAATTACAGCCCCTTGCCATAGTCCGAAGACAATTCAGGGATCCAATAAGCGTTTTTTGTTTGCTTTGTTGTGGAGTGACAGCCCCTTGCCATAGTCCTCAGACAATTTAGGGATCCAATAAGTGTTTTTTGTTTGTTTTGTTGTGGGGTGACAGCCCCTTGCCACAGTCCTAAGACAATTCAGGGATCCAACAAGCGTTTTCTTTTTAGTGGGGGAGTTAGAAAGGCCATGGACAATTTTGCCCAGACTCCCAGGTTTCGCAATCGCCAGGCATCGCCCAGTCGAGGTCACGTTCCCTCGCCTTAGGCCCCGCCGGACACCTTGGACAAGTTGCAGACGCGGAGCTACGAGGAGCAGGAGTTCGGAGACGAGGCGCGCGTGGATGGCAAGCGCGCTTTCGCTTCGCTTCAGGCGGCCGGGAAAAGCATAAAACTTCGGGGTTCCTGATTTTGTTTCGAATCTCAGGCCACAAAAATGGGGAAGCCTCAAACACGGCACAAAAAACATGGCTGCGAAGAAGAAGGTGGTTGGTGGACCTGAATCCAGACTGAATTTTGATTTGTCCGCCAAGGGCCGAAAAAAAGAACAGCGTGACCACATTTTTCGGTTAGGATGGCATGGAGGCGTGGGAAGCAGGGATGTATCACAAAAAGGGCCACCCTCCCAAAGGGCCACCCTCCCACCAAGTAATATGGAACCCTGACAGGTGGGTTCTGGAAGACCATTTCCCTTTTGAACGGACCCCCTGTCAAGTTCCATGCTAAGTGGTGGGTGGGTATTTTCCACAGCCATGTTTGGTGGCTTTAGGCATGACCCTCAAAGGGCCAATCAAAGCGAGTTTCAACTTGCAGTGTTGGGGGAAGTTTCTGCTGGGGTGTGATCTTGTGACCTTTGCCGGTTCGCGGTCCAAATAGCTGAGGAACCTTTTGCTGGGTAATTTGTTAGGCGCAATCTCCTTTATTTGGGTAAGTAAAGGGGGTTATGAAAGCCACATGTGTTTAAACTGCCCTCTACCTTCAGAGGAGCCCCACTTTCATTGCTAGACTCAAGACCATGTTCGGAACATGACCGGTGGAATTCGTGAGCACCAGCCACTTGCCCATTTTGCTCTCGGCCCTTTTGGGGTTTCTGTTTCCACAGAATCAACACGATCAACACAACGTTTTGCCGGAGATCGGATTCGTTTGGCCCATTCACAGCAGAGCTGCAGAAGTTGACGCAGGGTTTGCCGCTTCAAAAGGCAGACATTTTCGTGGAACGCCACTCATGAAGGTCATTGACGGGTTCCCGGTTCCCGTATTTCCGGAAGAGGAATTACAGCAATTTGCTCAGAGAGGAGGAGGTCATTGGTACCGCCAGATAAGCGTGAGGGCGACGGGCCCAACTCATTCTGATACGTGGAGCATATGTTTTTGGGGCCGAAAAAGACATACGTACTCAGCATAGGTGTGTCCTTTTTAGGTTAGCTTCGTTCAAAATAGATGGCACTGGATTATTCTTTTTCCATTTACCAGGGCCATCTATGTTTCCAAAAGGCCACCTATGGTACTCAGGTTACCACTAATTGGTGGTTTGGATTGGTTTGGAACCTCCAAGCCAATCCAAACCACCAATTAATGGGAAGCTGATGCTGCATCCTTTGTGTTTGGGTACCTTCCCTGGTAGGTTCTTTTCAACGGGAGAAAGCAGAGCATCATGAATTTTGCCTTGACTTGCCCAACTTTCGGCTTTCTCACTTTCTTCTTCTTTTTTTCAATGGGGCCCTGTTTGATACCTCACATCCTTGCCCTACCCTTTGCCCCGGCGCCACGTTTTCGCACCCGCCTCAACCCGCCTCAACCCGCTTCGCGGCTTCGCTTGGATGCGGCTTCGGCTCGAGGAGGGCAAGCAGTACCCTTCGGAGTGCGCCATCTGTCTGGGGAGCTGGGAGCAGGAGGACGAGATCAAGGCCGGTCGCTAGGAACCCACTTGGGACGGGCTTGTGTTTTTTGGGGTGATGCGCCTGTTTTTTCTGATAGGACACCCGCCATTGTTTGTGTTTTTCTTTTTCTTTTCTTTTTTTTTTTAAAGCTCTGTACCGACTTGGGAGTCGCTTGAGTCGCTTTTTTGGTGACGAGCCGGTCGCTTCCCTAGTGGATTTTTTTCCATACGTGTCATCCGGACCGTTTTTTTTTCCATGGAATCTCGCGCGAAGAGATCACCATTTCGGCAGGCTCGCCTTGGCATGGGCCAAGGCGGCCGCCTGAGTGGCTCGGCAAGCGTGTTTTTTTTCTCCTCTTTTTTTTAACATCGAGCTCGATCCAGCTATCTGGCTACATGGACGAGTCGCTTTCTCCTCTTCAACGGCATACTCAAGCGTTCCCAAGACCTTGTTCTTCGATTTGAGCAGCTGAGTAGATGTCATGTCGTGCATTGAGTCCATTTGTCTTTAGGAGACAAGTGGGGCAGTTTCCCTCCTGGATTCCCAGTCAACCCCCTGGTAAGCCCTTATACGTCGGGTTGACAGCCATTTCGCGATCACCCCAGACAAGAATATCGGTGTGCGTTTTGTGATATGTGATGATTTTGTTCAAAATGTGCAGTTGGCATACCAACTTTAGCTACCAACAAAAACCAATACCGTTTTCATAGTTGATTAATTTGACTGATCAACAAATTGTCATAATCATATCCTCTTTAGTTTACTCATATTTCAATCATGTGTTTAACTGGTTCTGCATATGTGAAATCTGAAATATTGGGTGTTCCAGAATGTGAATTGCACAGTTTTCATGCATTCAATAAAAGGATGATAGCACATATCAAACACCTAGATCTGTAAGATATGCAGATTATTTTGTTGAGTATCCAACAAAGAGTTTAACTAAACGGTGCAAACATGATGCATACTATAATTTCAACACTTGTGAACATGAATATGCATATTGTTTTCATGAAATTAGACAATATATTTGAGATAATGACCAATCATTTCGGGGTGGTTGTATTTGTTTTAAGTTGTTTCAATTTGATGCTATTCTCAACAACAATTGAGCAACTTATTGGAATAAGTTGTACAGAAGATAGAGGCACAATGATTATCGTGCCCCTTTTGGGATTGTCTCAAAGGAGAAGCTACACGCAAACCACTCGTTTTACTTTTTTTTGGGGTATTTTGAGACGAACCCTTTCATCAGTGGCCCCGTTCTGCCTGCAGCACAGGTGACTCCCTGCGGCCATGCCTTCCACAAGGCGACGGAAGTAGGCTGATAGGGATTAGAACAGGGTTGGGCCAACTTGTTGAAAGATGTGAATCGAAACCACTCCCGGTGCTTCCAGTAACACAAAAGGTAGGTAACCGATCAGGTTTCTTACCTCTAGGTTTTGTATCATGGTTGCCAACTTGGTTACCTGCTATTGCGGGAACTGGCAACACTGGGACATGGTTTTCGAGAATCACCCCGAAGTGGTGTTCACAAACACCTTGTTTCCAAAGGAACGAATCAGGTCTGGTCGGAACGAGTTTTGCCACCAATACGACCAGCGCGGATTCTAGTGGCCAGCGATTAAACCGGAAAGGCACAGACATGACGTACCATACCCATCCACTAGGGGTCTGTCGTCTGAATGCTTGAGCCCACTTGTTTTTAAATGTTTGGCGGATGTTTTTGAAGGGAATCCACATTGAAAATGGGGGTCCCATACTTGCGGAACCGTTCGAAAAGGTGCACCTTGAGACCCAGTGAACTCGAGCACCCGTCAGGATGTTGCCAAGACTTGAAGCTTTCTTATTGATTGACCATATGTTTGCCAGGCGTCCCAGAACCAAGCAAGTCATATATTAGTCATATACAACTCGCTCGGGTCCCGAGTGGTGCAAATCATTTTGTTGTGAGCGGAAGGCCTTCGGAACTGGATGTTTCATCTTGGAGAGAAAAATCGGCTCTGAGGTCTGCTGAGTTGAGACCCTAGACCCTTTTCAGGTTGCGGTTCCGGGAGAAGACACGAATCTGTCGGATCTGTCCCCTACGAATGGAAGGGTTCGTGGCACCTGGATCAGGTCATTGGGGTGGGTTTCCTTCCCAACTTTTGGTGGGCCCTTTTGGGTTTTGTCAGGAGTCCAAAAGGTCAACCAACTCTAGGGTGCGTTTCTTATCTTGAGAAACGTTCGCAAGCTGTAAGGCTTCTTTTATCCAGAACATGTCCCAAGAAACAAGAAATCACGACACCAGCCCGAGCCCAGCCGGCAAAAGAGGAGCTCCTGATTGTTGGTAGCTTTCTTCCTGCGTCATGTCGCCGGTTTGTTTGCTCCGGTGGCACCCTTTGTTCCGTTTACTGAGGGTTTCCTTTTGAAGTCAACGAAAAGCCGCGCCCCACCATCTCCGGGTGTCCGGGTTTTTTGATGCGGGCGGGGGGGGGGGGGGGGAAACAACAACAAGAAAAACGCGCACCCACGCACGAGGCCCGGGTTTTTTGGCGTGGCTAGCCTGGCTACGGCAGGAGTGCATCGGCGGGTGGCTGCAATCGGCGCGGACCTGCGCGCTCTGCCGCAAGGACGGGCTCGGGAATCCTCTGGGGCCAAATCACGGCCTGTGGGGGTATCTCTTCCCAGAAAGGACACCAAAGGCATGGAGATTGTCATTTTTTTGGATATTCGGAAGCCGTTTTTCTATTGATATTCCAGACCCCTTCCCAAAAAGAAGCCACAGGCCATGATTTTTGTTTTTCATATTCCAGACTCCCTATTTGGCGGCGCAGATATGGCTTGCTTTCTTTCGGTGGGCTTTTGGCCCCCCGAAAAAGCTACTCTCAACAAATATGCCACTTTTGGTGGTCCCGAAAGCTTTCGGTCGGGATTCTGGAACATGAGTCATGAAGGTCCTTTTTGGCGGTTGGAAGCCCTCCTTTTAGCCCAATTTGTCCGAGCAGGGGACGGGGAAAGTCGAACCCTGGCCATTTGACGAAGCCGTGATTGTGAACCCTGCAACTGAAGCCCTTCATACCTTCCAGAGACCCAGCGAAAGACTGGGCAGGAAAGGCCGTGCTTTTTCGGGGTGGGCAGGCTTTTGAACCCAAAGGGGCCAGCCAACCAAGCCAATCGGATTTTTGGATAGGCTCCACTTAAGGGTCGGTCTGGCCCATGCACCAGGACCTGGTTCAGCTGACCACGGCTCCAGAGAGGCGCTCGCGAGTGAGTCGCAAGTGAAGGACCAGGACCCCAAAAGGACCTTCCTTGTGGTTTTTCCTGCAAAGCAACCACGGAAGCGGTACACCCAAGTGGTACACCCTATGAGCCAACATCTAGAGGGTATTTTTGAGGATGTCAGTGTTTGGGCGAGTTAAGTGGTTAGCCACCTGGTTTATAATTCACCCCAGGCTTATCTCCTCTTGGAGGGGACTTATCAATGGGTAGCCAGCCTAGGGTAGCAACAAACTTACAAGCTTTTCGGACCAAGCGCCTGGTATTCTTTCGACGCGCTTTGGCTCTTCCCCTTCGCCCCGGCGGTTTGGATGTTTGCGGGTTTGAACTGCGAATGGACTCTACTCAAAGGGGCGCGCGAAAACTCGGTGATTTTTTCAGCGGATTCATCAGACCATCCCTGAGGAGTACTGTGCTGACTCATCCGATGCCCTCCCTCAGACTATCATGGAAGCTCCCAGGCCTCCGTACATGGAACCAAGTCTTCCAAAGGGGTCCCTTCGGGAGCTGCCATGTTAGCCTGGGGGAGGAACAAGGCGTGTCGAGGGGCGCCACGCCCTAACCGTGAAGCCACCAAGCCGAGTTGTTTTGTTTCCGGGCCAGTTCAACTAGGTCCCCCAGCCGTTTCTTTTTTGGGGCAGGGTCCCCTACCAAAATTGACCACAGAAAAAGAGTTGGACCCTCATTCTAACCTCTCAAATCTGGAGGACCTAGTCAAAGTTGGGCTCTTCTTTGGCTCGAGCCCAGAAACCAAACATGTCTCTTTTTTGTGGAGGGGCTGGGCCCTGAAAGCAACGGCCAAAACCATGTCTAAAAGGCACACAGAAAAAGGAGTCTCTAGGGTTGCCCACAGAAGAGAGGAGTTTTTTTTGTCCATCTCAACTGGTGAAGATGTGTCCATCCGGAGTGCTGTAGCGGTGCTTCCAGCCGGGGTAGCTGAAAGCCGAAGGTTGGGCTCAGGAGTTCACTTCCGCCCGCGGCTCCTTTGGCCTTTGGAGGCCGCTGGAGGCCCACGTGATTGGCAACGCAAACGCCACGGTGGTGCCGAGCCCGGCTGATGTCTTCTTGAGTTGGGGGGTTTTTGGGTTGGAAACTAAAGGGAACCCAGGCATGATTTTTGTTTTGAGTGGTTGGAACCCCCAAACACCCCCCCCCCCCTTCCAGATCTCCAAAGATGGTCGAGTTTAGTCGAGTGTGTTTTGGGGGGGAGGTGCAATAATCGAGTGGTCCCGGCCATTTCCCTCTGGTTTGACGCGCGAAAGTAGGGCGCGCCATTTTACCGGTTGTTTTCTGGGAGGACCGTTTCCGGCGCGCCCTTGCCCAAGCCAGTGCTTACTTTAGACGTCCGATTCATGAAGGGGGTCGTCCTGAAATCCGAAGTGGACGTTGTCCTCCCCTCGCAGCAGGTCGTGCAGCTTCTTTCAGTTGAACCAAAAGGATACCAACTATGTTTGAGGATTCCAGATTCAATTTGGTGCTCAAACCAGGAGGTTTGACCAACCGGTGAAAAAGGCAGAGTCAAAACCTGGGGAATTGAGTCGGAAACCAACCATGTTTGAAGTCCGTGTGATGTTTTTCTGCCAGTATGCACCCAAGGTATCATCTCAGCCTGGCTTTTGAAGCCGGGCCATCCGGGGGATTTGCAGCGGTTTGACCTGTTCCGGGGTAGATACTTTTCTTGTTCCATGAAACATCCACGCAACTCGTCCGGCCACATGGTTGCTGATTGATTCTTGAGGCGGAATGCAAACAAGTCGACCCCTCAAAAGCGCTGACTGACATCTTTGGGAGAGGCGAAGAGTCTTCCGAAGCTTCCGGAAGCTTCTCAGGTGGTAGCGACCTGAGCAGCGAACTTGCACCGGTTGCCCAGAGGTGAATCGAGCCCCGGATCTCGTCCGTAAGGCTCTTCCGCAGGTTTTTTGGTTGCCCGGAGCTTTGGTGATTGAAGCGTCAAAGGTTGTGTCTTGAAATAGGGGACCACCAAAATGTGGGCTGCTTTCCCTTGAAATAGGGGAATTTTCAAGCCAATCCAAGAAGGAGATCCTCCCCCCAAAAAAGGAAGGAGCAGCCCAGGGGTCCAGAGCATGTGACACGGATTGCGGTCAAAGGTTTGTTCTGCCGGTTGGAAGCGAAGTCCAGCGGCAGCCGGCAAAAGCCGCTCCGGATGTACCCGAGAAGGCTGGCTTGAAGGATCGCGCTGTCCAGAAGTGACTCCTGGAAACTGGAGGCTTTGCTTCGAATGGGGGGTTTGGGTCCCATAATTTTGGGAACCAAGAGGTTGGGTTTCCCAAATTCAAGAATCTCAAGGGAACAAGTGGCAAGTCAGCAAGGCTGGCATCATGCGACCGGCCTGAAGCCATTCTCCGGGGGTTCCCCAGAGATGCCGAATACCTTGCTTCATGCCGCGTCGCAAGCGCGTCACTTCGCCCGGACAAGCTGCTTCCGGTTTCGCTTGGGCCCCGACCTCGGGTCGAGGGCCCTGGGAAAGCGGTGGGAAACACCCATGCTGCTTTTTCTTGCTGGGTGAGTCAGCTCCAACCACCTGGGTGTCCTATGCGCCTTCCCAAAATGGGCGGGGAGACATACCACTGCGGTGCTCTCCGATATGAAGCAGAGGCTGAACATGGTGTTTGGTGCACCCCTCGGCTTGGGCCAAGTGGAGTTCTTATTGATGTGCGTCCATGTCTGGCATCCACTGAAGGGAGTCACAAAGGCTACGCTCACCAAATGTCTCCAAGACGAGAGGAAATGGAGGTTACTTGGCTGTGGTTGTCAAAACTAATGGTACCAGTTTGGGGTAGGTGCACCCCCCATTTTAGAACCCATTTTAGTGTGGATGGGGATGTTCACGTTGGGGTACGGGATTTTGACCCATGGCCACTTGTCAAGCTCCAATGTCACAACGCGCACGGCATTCGCTGAAGGACACGTGGGCATTGTGTGTCGGATCGTTCCGGAGCTGCATTCACCAAGCTTAGCACGCCGCGCTCAAAGCGGCCCGCTTTGAAAGCTGGTTTGCGAGCAGCCGGCTGCCGGAGCCATCTAGCATGCGGCCCGGCGCTTTGTTTGCGTCACATTGGGATGCATGGTGCACAGACACCCATTCTGCACACACACATATTCACACAAGTATACGTATATATATATATATATAAATTTTTATATGCACACATTATAGATGCATTAGTAGCCTACTGATGTATATGTACGTATGTGTGTATATACACATGTACGGTGTCACAGCATCTTAGTCTTGCTGGCTGATCTCTGTCTCTGCTCTCTCTCTCTCTCTCGCGCTCTGCATGCATCCAGGCGCGTATGCAAACGGGTGAGTTAACGACTAATATGGATAAACATGTCTCGTCTGCGCCGGTCCCGGCGGTGCCACGCTTCCTTCGTGACGGCACCGTCTCGATCGGCGCAAGCCGTTGCAAACAAAGGGCCTGGGGAGCCGCCGGACACGGCCCTGAGGCATCAAATCAATTTTTTCGGGCGCAGGGAGGCAAGTTCCCTGAGCTGGCAGCCGAGGGTCTAATACAGCTGCAGCCGCTCTCAGGAGGGTCATCAACACCTGGTACAAGGGGCTAAGTAGTTACTAGCATTGCTCCGCGATCATGAATTCGATGGTTTCTGAATCGATCCAGATGCCCCCTCTAATCATTTCGGCCTTGGCATCTCAAAGCGTATGGTTTTCGAGGCTTTTGAGGTCGGTACATCTTCCCTCCCATTTGGCTCATCTTGGGAGCGCGCTGCATCCCTTTTTTGCTCGGCCGCGAAGCCAAGCCAAGCTTGCCGTTTTCCGCGGTCGCGCATGTGGCCCGGCCTTGTCGAAGCCGACGCTGTGTTTGATTTGGCGTTTACGGCAGCCACCCGTTTTTCAGGGCTCCGTAAAAGATCTCCATTTCGCAACCATTTGAAACATGGCTTTTTCCACCAAAATAAAGGGACACCACCATTTACCAGGCAATGTTCAGGAGCATAATGTAAGGATCCCTGTTTTTCGGTGGCTTTTTCAGGGATTGAAAAGGAAGACCGCCCATGTTGGAAGCTCAGGCAAATGGCGCTTGGATACGTTGAAGGGGAGCCGCCATGGCTTTGGTGGCCATCTTCCTCTCGTCATGTTGGGTGATTCTTGACTGAATCCCTGGGACTCCTTCAGGAACATGGGCAGCTGTTGTTGGGGTGGTGCTCATATGAAACCAAGGCAATTGGTCCCCCAGCTAGGTGCCCCTTTACCTTGTTTTTTGGGGAGGGTTACCTTACTAAAACAGACTACGGAGTAAAGGGTGCCCTTATTCTAACCTCTCTACTGGAGGACCTAGAAGGGGCAACCGAGGATTTGGCCTTCCTTTAAGACGCTGTGTGAGGGCTTGGGCTTGAAGCGGCTGCCTTCACTTCCTCCCAGGCCTTTGTAACCTTTGGTTGACATGAATAGCCACACAACTCATAACTCTGGCCTCTTTGAACCAAACCTGAAGAGGGTGCGCTCAAAAACACACAGCCATGTAGATTCCCTTTGAACAAGATTGAAACTGGCACGGGGGAGTTGCCATGCTGCCAATTGAGCAGCGCCAAGATCCCGAGCCATTTTGGAGGTTCTACTATCAAGGTCTATAGGCGCACAAGAACCTTTTTAACCATCTTGGGACGCGCACCAGTCTCAATGGGTGAAACGGGCGCCGCTTTGGGATTTGTGGAGCACCGTATGGGCTGCACAGCTTGCAGGTAGGCTGGAAATGGGGCCAGGGCTTTGAGGGTTTCACCCCGGGGCTTGGGATCCCTTTCCAAAAGAGAATCCCACCTTCCAGTTCCCCACATCCAGATGTGAACAAAGGCGAATCAGAAAGTCAGCGGCGATGTCTGAAGTCGGTCGGCCAAGGCAATTGCTTTGTCACCGGGCATTCAGAGTGCTTAAATGGGCGCTGTAGCGTAGGAATTGCCGCTGCATGATACACTAGCCCGCAGGTCGAACGGTTCAACGGTGGGGCGCAGCATGAGCAATGCACGGGCCGGACACGAAGGCGGCTTGTCATGTGGGGGGCTGCCCAAAATTCGCTCTGAGTTTTGGGGGAAAAGTTCCTCAAAGTTTTGGGGATATAAATCTAAGCATGCATTTCTGATGTCCAAGGATGTCTAATGCAGATGCCCAAGTACCTTTTCTCTAAAACGCTGGGTGAAGGCAGAGCCTCCGTTTTTGGACCAGGACCTTTTTGGTGCCAATTGGTTGGCATTGGGTCCTCATATGGCTATGCATGGGAAACCCCCCCGGCATATAAATGATGTCCAGCATTTTGGGTCCCCAACTCAGATTGACGTCCTTGGGTGCAGCTGGGTGGTAAATCCCAGCTCTTTCCAATGGAATCTGACAACAGGAAGGGCAAACAGGCTCGGACCACGGCTCCGACTTGAAGAAGCCGATGGTCCACTTCTGTGGTTGTGGGGACGCTGGTAATGATAGCTTCGGATCGAGTCTGAGAGTCCGGATTGATCGAAGGTGAACATCACCTTTTGGTTGCTACTTCCCCAAAGGGTCCGAGACAGATCCGCCTTTTCCCCGACTGTCCAGGTATATAAATATCTACATCGGGTTTCCCCTCCTTTTCATCTGGGTACCCAGCGATACAGGGGTGTGGTATTAACCCTCTTCCAGGTCCAGATATTTTGCCACAGGTATCTGGGAGATATGTCCGGTCTTCCCCCAAGGAGCGCCATGGCTGGGGTTGTTCCCTGCATGGAAGCCAAGAATAGGCTTTCCCATTCTTTTGAAAGATCCGATACTTTGCGGTGTTCGTTTCGGGTCCATGAACAATTACGGGGAGGCTTTAAAAACAACAATCATTTTGGTCCATGAACAATTCCGGGGAGTTTTTGTTGTTGTTTTGTTTTTCTTAAACAACACAGGTACAGAGGGGTTCCCAGCCGCCCATTTGGAGCCCCCGCGACCCGTTTGCCCTCATGTCTGCCAGCCTTTGGCGAGCAAAAAATGGGCTTGCGAGGTTCATGGAGGGGTGTGTGTGTGTGTGTGCGCGCGTGCGTTTCTTTTTTTGGTGTGTGAGTGTGTGTTTTGTGTATATACATATATGTGTACATTTGTGTGTGCGCGGGGGCGTTTCAGGTTGGCTTTGTAGGGAACCACACGGAGTGCCACTGTTAGAGGGGGGGTTTCCCTATTTTCCTTTCAGACCATCAAGGGCAGGTCTTCTAGAGTTCATTTGTCGGGGGCCTTGAAAAAAGGCTTGGGAGTCCTTTGGAGAATTCAAGAGGGCACGAACGATTGCCGGCTAGTATCGTTACAGTATGTGTTTTATGTTTTGTTCATTCGTAGTCTTGCGTATACTTGGTTGGTTGGTTGGTTGGTTGGTTGGCTGGTTGGTTGGTTGGTTGGTTGGCTGTTTGGTTTGGTTTGGTTTGGTTTGGTTTGGTGTGGTTTGGTTTGGTTTGGTTGGTTGGTTGGTTGGTTGGTTGGTTGGTTGGTTGGTTGGTTGGTTGGTTGGTTGGTTGGTTGGTTGGTTGGTTGGTTGGTTGGTTGGTTGGTTGGTTGGTTGGTTGGTTGGTTGGTTGGTGCGTTCCTTCGTTCGTTTGTTCCTTGCATTTCTTTCCATATGTCATTTTAGTTTGTCCCATTTCGTTTCAAGGCTTAGGCCTAAGCAGGGCTCCCTGTAGCGGCCCTCTTCCCCTATCGAAGGAAGCTCACCTCATGCAACTAGAGTCCAGGTGTTGGGAAATGCAGCGCTTCGGGATTCCAGCCAAAAAACAAAAAACACCACATCGGCCAGGGATGGTCTTTCTCGGGGTCATTTCTTCTCTCATCCCCTGCCTATCGATCCTGCTGGCGACTTGAAGGGTTTTTCGGATCCGAGAGAAGGATTTCCTTTTGCCGAGCGAGACATCATGGGCATGCGAAGGTTTTCTTTTGGTCTCCCCTTGAACCAACCCCCAAACGGGTAGGCCTCAACACAAAAAGCACACTTGTTTTTTTTTGGACGTGTTGCAAGTCTGGACCTGGGGTGGCACTTTGCGTCCTCGAGGTTGGACCCTTCGAAATTGGTAGTTCCAGATGATTAGTTGGACAACTTGGTCCAGCCTTGCCTGGTGAGTGTCTGGAGGGTGTTCCAAGAGATGCGCTTGAACAAATTGTGTGTGGGTGTGTGTTTCTTGAAGTATGGGCGTGCTCTTTTGAGGTTTTTTTGTTTTTGGATGCTTGCAACGGGAAACCAAAAGGACACCAGGCGCCTGGAGTGGCAAGCCCTCTCAGAGGCACGAGGCACCCGGCACCCCATTTCGACGATGAACGGGGCCATGTCAAAACTGGGATTCCCTCAAATCAGGTTTCGCTTTCCTTGTTGGTTTCCCTTCAAACCAACCTGAAAAGGGTACCAAGTTTTTTTGTTTGATTTCATGTTTTTTGTCAACCTGAAAAGCGTACCAACTCAAAACACACACACACACAAAATAAGAAAAGAAAAGAAGAAACACGCTCTGTCAGCAAGTCGGCGCCGCAGCACGACTGCCCCCGGCCCGCTCGCGGGGAAATCTTGCCCAGCATGGGAGACGACGAGGCAGGTTCGGATCTTCGCGACTCCAATCTTGGATGTGACCACCCCACTTAGTCAGTGCTTGATAATTCAGCTCATAAATCCCCGAAGTGGGCTTTCCCCTTCATGCAACCCACTTCGGGAACTTCACTGGGGCAATGAACCACTAAGTGGGGCGGTCATCCGAAAAGAATGCCGAAGCCTTCCAAAAGATCTGGGTATGAACTTTGGAAGGCACCTGACCTTATCAAGGCTCCGTAAAAGATCTCCATTTTGCCTTGCCATTTGAAACATGGCTTTATCAACCCCAAAATGAAGTTGGAAACCACCATTTACAAGTTGCAATGTTGTATAATGTAAGGATCCCTGCTTATCCTTGGGGGCATCCCCCTTTGTGTCAGGGGAGGTCGCGGACTTTCTGGATGGATATGGCTCGTCGCTCCCCGTACCGTGGATTAAGTTGACAAAGAGCTTGGGGGAAGCATCTGCCCGATTTCCCGTGTGTGGTATTTGGATACGACTCCGACAGTTTGGTAACCAGTGCCTGAACTGCTGACGGCCAAACCTTCAATTTGGTGACTCGCATCAATGAAAGGCGATTTAGTATTTCTTTGGCTCTTCCGGATGGACATGATGGGGCCATGACTCGTGTCTTTGTGAGGATATCTGCATGGAAATGGACCAAGGATTCCACACCCTCTCTGCGGGCTATGGGAAGCACATGCCTAAATCATCCGTCAATTTAGCGAGGGATGTTACTTTCTGGGTGTGGGATATCGTTTTTTTTTTTTTTTTTTTTTTTTTTTTTTGTGTGGGGGGGGGGGTATTGCTTGGAAAGGTCGCTTGGGTGTGTTGTTTTTTCAGGGACCCCTTTTTGCGGTTCTAAAGGAATTTCCCAAAAACAGACACACCCACTTGTTTCTCTTTGTTTTGTGGTGGTTTCCAAATAGTGGCCAAATCTCCTGACTGAGGCAAAGGGATTTTCAGGTGAGGGAGTTTTTGTCTTTTGGATATTTTAGTGTGGAGGGCAGGCCAGAGTTCTCATAGTGAGTCCCCCCAGGCGTTTGAGCTGCTGGTGATGGTGCGGACGCGTTGTTTTAAGATTGATGGCAGGGTGCTAGGGGACATGCAGTGACGGTGCGGGCGCACTTTTGCAAGATTGACGGTAGGGTGCTAGGGGGCATGCAATTTGGCGATTCTTGTGCAGGTGCTGTCTTGGGATGTTTTTGCAATGGTGGACAAAGTATGGAACGGAGTCAGAACATTTATATGTTTGCCAATATTTCAGACAGCCACTGAATGCTGATACACGCACCCAAGGTTCACCAGAAGCTTTAGAGGGTCCTCTGACTATCAGACAGCTTTCTCTTGCGTAGTATTGGATTGGGGATGTCAAGCCAGCCCTTCTCATACACCCAGAAAAAGAATGTCCGAAGCACCACTGGTTTCCACCCTTGAGATCAGGAGCGGCAGCCGCCGGGCGTGCCCGGGAGCTTAGAGCTTAAGAGGTACCCATTGGTCGAATTTGAGCACCGGACCATCTCATGGCTCAGGTGTTTTGGTGGAAAACCAGGGGCAACTCGCTGAATTTGATTATGTGTGTCTCATTGTTCCCCAACAGAAGCTATGGGGTCTCTGCCCAAAGTTGCCAAATGAGCTTTGAGCTGCTTTGGATCATGTTGCAATCAGGCTTCCCGGGTGGCAGGGGCTTAGGTTCTTCCTTTTTGGGGACACCAACCTGCAAAAGAACGGGTTGCAACCAAAGGACCTCGAGCAAACACAGTTCGCCCGTTATTTTTTGGACCTTGACCAAACCTGGGTATACGGTATGGGCATATGGGGTGAAACCAGAATTAAAAGCTCGAAGCTTGGACAGTCCCTGGCAGCGTTTTTTTGGTGACCGTTTTGGGTGAAGGAAAGTATCAGGTGTTGATTGGGTGCCTTGTGGGTGGGGGGGGGTTGGAATTGGGATGGAGTTGGGGTGTGGAGTGTGGTTCAAGAATCAACACTTGAAAAGGGGCATGACTGATTAGTTGGGTTGCAATCCCACAAGAACTTCCCGGCCAGTTTTTTTGTTTGAAGGATTTGCAGGGTGTCTCCGAGCCGTTCAGGAGGACCAGCTCAGGGAGCATTGCTTAGCATGGTTTCTGCTGGTTTTCCATGGCGAGCCTGCGGTCTGGGTCACAAGTTGCCGCACTTCGCCCTGGTGAAGCTGCTCATCATCGTTATAGGTCTAGAGGTAACTTCCAGTTCCATTCTGAACCCAGGGATCCGGGTCTTTCCAGAAATCCACCGGTTACACCCTGACAAAAATGGCGATCGGTTTTTTGCAAAAGAGCGATGGCTGGAAAGAATGGACAAGGAATCAACCCCTAGAACAAGGCATGCTTGCACCGCCTTGTGATAAAAGCACGGTCCCTTTGAACATCAGTACTTTGAATGGCTAAGAGTAGCCTGGACTCAAAGACGGAATCTCGAGAGGGAGTTGAGCTTGCCATGGCGCAGCTTGGGGTGAGCTTTCCTGGCGACTCTTCACTTGTTTACAAAAAAAATGGCGGCGGAGGCAACATGTGTGTGCAGGCCCGGTTTTCCTTTTGGGTTTCCTTTACACCAAGTTTACCCTCAAAAAGCAGACACGCGCACACACGCACCCATGTAGGCATTTCAATTGCCCTTGGCAATACAACTGCTGATGTCAATCCAGTTTTTTTGGGCGTGCCCTCAAATTTTGAGGCGCTCCCAAAAAGGTTTGTCCCCTTTTGGTTTCCCTTCTCAAGTTTCCCCGAGCGTTCCAGTACCTTCAAAGGAGACACGCTCATTCTTTCACCCCCAAATCCCCAATGGGCCAGGGTAGTGTGCAGAAAACAGCAAAGACACCAGCACTAACACAACTTGCTCCCGGTTCGCTTTCAGGTACACGCTCATCACGGAGGAGGGGGAGAAGAAGACCTCCATAGATTTTACAGGCCGCACCATGGCGCCTGCAGCAAGATGGCGACAGGGTTCAGTACTGTATCATCTTTGAAGGTGGTATTTCCCTATGGCCGCACAATTTTGAATAATCACACACCCATATTTCCATTCAAAGGGTGGTTTGAAGCATATCCCGTTGCGCCACGTGAGTCCTTTTGGTGGGATGAGAGGGAGCCCTGCTCTGCCAAGCCACTACCGGGTGCGGACGGAGGCATCAACTTCGGCTAGTGGCTAGGGGGCAGTGGACACCATCTTGGAGCGATGTCTGGCGTGCAAAAGCCGTTGAAATGACTGGAGAGAAATGGAGAGACAGGATCTCCGGGTTGATTCCTGTTGATTCCGGATTGACCAACCTGATGCATAGGGGGTGCCGGCTCCCAAAAGTGTGGACCCCCTCTAAAATGGGGCCCGATTTATTAACCAGAGCTTTATTGATCCGAGGCCAGCCTTGATGTTCAGTAAGGGGCGTGTTTCCTCCAAAATGATTTCGATGCTTACACATGGGATATTTGCATAAACTTGGAAGCGCGGAGCCGGTGCTGAGGTACCCCTAATAGGGGGAGCGTTATTTCCAGTGACCCTACAGACCCCCCAAAAACCCTCCAAAGGTGGCGGCTTGAGCCTTCTTTCGGGGTGTTTTAGGGAGGTGGGATGGGTATCCATCGCAGGCAAGGCTACGGCCAACTATGCCAACGGCGACATCTATGAAGGTCAGTTCGAGAAGGGCGTGCGGCAGGGGGCGGGCGTGTACACGTGCGCTTGGGCAAGTCAAACGAGAGAGGCCGGTCTTGGTGCTTCCCACTTTTGGCTCCATTTACCAGGGTGCCATTTTGGTACCACTTTTTTTGAGCCACAGCTTGGTAGGCGCGCTCCGCGCCCTATCCGTATCGCGAGCGCGTGTTTTGGAGCAAACGAGAGATGCCGGAGAGGGTGTGAAACCAAGAAGCGGCTGGCGGCTGGGGACTCGGGGAAGCCGGAGATGGCGATGGCTTGGGGATGGCTGGCCTGAATCTTTCATCTAGGTCCCCCAGCTAGGTGCCAACTTTTACCTTTTCTTTTGTGGTTGGGAGGATTCCCCTACTAAAATAGACTACAGAAAAAAGTTGGGAACCTTGTTCTAACCTCTCTCCTGGAGGACCTAGTCCATCCAATCCCAATTCTTCGCGAGCCCCCAAGGGCTTCCTCCAAGCGGCACAGGTGGTTGGACAGGGTTCCTTAAGACATATGCGCCCACGGGCCTGTCAATAATAGGACGTTTTCCACCTGAAAGCAGGTGTTTATTGATATAATCATCTTCTTCAGGAACCCTGTTGAGGTCCAAAACCATACAGTAAGCCCTGAGTATCGGTGGGGGCCAAAGATGCGCGCGGCTCGAACTCCTGGTAAACGGGCGGCGAGGTACCTGAAGGGCGATGTCTTCACAGGGACCTTCGAGAACAACTTGAAGACGGGCCTTGGAAGAATCACGCACGATCCTCAAAGATCAGTCATGTTGAGTTCGGGCCAGAGCTGGCGAGCAATTGGGCCCAGTTGCTTCAACAAACTGCATCCTTTAACTGCAGAAAAAAGGTGGGAAACCGGTCGGGTTTTCCAACTTAAGTTTGCAAATCGTGGTTTATACTGGTTGCCCAGGTTTTCAGCGCCCCTTCCAAAGCATGGCTGCCTTTGCATGGTCAGTTCTACGACCGCTTGTCCGACCTGCTAGGTACAAGAAGGGGGGCTACTACCACGGGCACTTCAAAGAGGGCAAGCGCCATGGTGAGGCTGAGCAACCGAGGGTTGTCTCAAGGGGCCACAAGGCGGTTTGGGATCTCTGTGGTGTTTTTGTTGCCTCCAAAAGCCAACATTTTCCGGCTCACGAAATCTGGAGGCAAAGTCGAGTGAAGAAGGGAATAGGGTCCAACGCCTTTGGGTGACCCTCAGGTTTTAAGCAGCGAAACATTTTTTAGGGTTTCACCGACACCTGTCCGTTTTGCAGCTTGGGGATTCAGGGAAATGGGCTTGTTTTTTTAGGTCGGGAACCCCAGAAATGGTCGAAAAGGAACACACCGATGGGTTCGTGTGCAGCCATGAATGGTGGTTCAATGGCTGCTTCCCCCTGCCCTAACCTAGACTACCCAAGACTGCGGGACAGAAGGGTGTATGCCCATTTTCTCTTATCCGCAATCAAAGCTCAGTGAAGATTAGGCACCATGCCGGTTTTTCTGAATACACAACTTCAACAATACGGGCGTTGATTGTTTTTGTTTTGGCGGCTCAAAATGGAATTCCGAAAAATGGCCCCTTGGAAACTGGAAAGAACGACTAAACCTGTCTAAACTGCTGTTCTGTAATTTCGAGTCACACCCACTACTCAATTTCAAAAGCTCTGGTTTTGATAACTCAGCTGAGTTGTGTTTGTTCACGTTTCCACCATCTGGGAAGTATTGGATTCATTTCATCACAAAAGTTTCCCCAAGTTGCCCAGGTGCAAGCTGGGCAGCCGGTGGAAACCAACTTGGACATTGGCAACCGATCCCGATCAATTTGAAGGATTTACGAGAACTCCTTCTGTTCCTTTCGTGGAAAGGCGAACAAAGCCAAGCCATTGATTGTCTGTTCTTGATGGCCGGGAGACACCAGTTTCAAGGGTTCGCACTCTGGAGCGGACCAGGTTCAATGCTAGGTTTAGGGTTGATACGTTGACCAAGTTGTGGTGTGTGCGCGTGTCTCAAAATGGGATTTGGGGGCAGTAGTTTGCCTTTTTGCGTTCCCCTTTTGACGATACCCAACGGACTGGTGCTACAACAGCGTGGCAGGTTGCCCTATGCCCAAATCCCCAAATCCCCAAATCCCCAAATCCCCAAATCCCCAAGTCCCCAAATCCCCAAATCCCCAAATCCCCAAATCCCCAAATCCCCAAATTTCTCCAATTCCTCAAATCCCATTCTACTTATTTTGCCCTCACAAGTTTCTATGTTCCAACAGGGCCCCAGACAAGTCACCCGACCCGACCGATTCGAGGGCACCCTCCAGTACGCCAACGGGGACATCTACTCCGGCACGGGTGGCCCAAAAAGCACTCAGCTTGCCATGGAGAAACCAAAAGGAAGACCATCATTTTGGGGAGTCAAAAAAAAACACGACGCCCTCATACGTGTTGTTTTTTGCCCCAATTATGTGTCTTGATTTCGAGACTCATATAGGATGGACCAGAAACAACTTTGAGTGGAGATTACAAGCTGAGGTAGCTTTGGCACGATCCCCAAAAGCACCTAGGAGACGAGAATCGACCACGCCTGGAGGTCTTGGGGCGGGAGCAGATGCGCGAGAAATGGTGTTTGAATTTGGTCACTCACCAAATCCTTTGGGACAAATCTTCAGCCACAGTCGAAACCAGGGTAACTGAACACCACAAAAACCCTCTCCTTGAGATGAAAAAAGCTGCTTGCTGCCCTTGAACAACTCGAGATCGAGGCTTTTTGTCTCCATTCCGCACCAGCCGAATGGGACACCTGGCTCCGCAACTGGGCGGTGAACAGCGGCCCCTAGTCTTTAGCTTAGAAGCAAGGGGGCTTCATCCCAAGGCCCAGGCTGATTTCAGTCTGGCCCCTCTCATTTTTTTCTTTCCGGTCAGCGCCCCACATGGGAAGCTCAGATTTTTTCGGGGCATCCGCCATGAGGTCTTTGGCACGAGGGGAAGAAGCACGGCGCCGGCACGTGCGCCGCGCTCGGCACGTGCCACCTGAGAAGGATGGCCTCCCCGAAGAGTGTGAAAGCACCCCAGACGCTTGCTGGGGAAGTATGGAAGGTGCACGGGGAGTCCCTGGAAGACCACTTTCATAGCCGGAAGTTCAGGTTGCCTTATTTTTTCCCGGGTGAAGCTCTTTTTAGCCATGGACAGGGGCGTTCCCCGAATCAGGGAGACCCTTCTCCCAACAGTCTTCCAAAACCGTCCGGTGCACATCCATGATTGGAATGAGGGTAACACCATTTTCAGAACCCTATATGGACCGTGGATATCGCTTGGACAGTTGAGTTTGCTTGTTGGCCATGTTGTGGATTTTGCTGGTGTATCTCTGTGGCAAATGCGACCTTTGGTCTTGCAGCCTTTGGGATAGCTTCAAGTCGACATTTCCTATCTATGAGGTTTGGTGAACATCTCCAGAAAAGAAGGTTTCCAGATTCAAACTCACACCACATGAGCGTCAGTCAAAGTGCCTAGTATCCTATGGTAAGTTTGGGAGAGACAGGGGGACGAGTTCTAAATTTCAACCGCAAAAACCAAGGTTTTCAACACACGATTGTCCATGCTTATTGCGGGTGCATCACATGGTGGGCGGGACACCGCCATGTTATTGGGGTGCGATTCCTATCATATTTTGGCCATCGAGAACAGAATGATGCCCTGATCTCTCAGACCATGGTCCATGGGAGGTACGTCTTCAGCAAGACCAAATACGAGTACAAAGGCGAGTGGAAGGAGGGGTTCAGCGCTTCCAGGCTTCCAGATCCCCATTCTGTCGTATGGGTATCGGTTAAGAAGCCACCCGCCGCACATGCGTTTCAATCACAGAGCGAGCCTTGAGGCGAGATAGCTGCGCGCTTGATCTCCTTTTTGTAGCCGCTCACTTGAATTGGGAACGTATTTCAAATTGAATTGGGCATGGGTCATAACCTATGCCGATCCCATTTTGGGGCGGATGAATACCTATGTACTACTTATGTTGATGTTCCCCAGGGCTACAGGGTTTTGACAGCCATGTAGAAAGACTACTTTCCTCTTGGAAGGGGGTTTGTGCACTTCCATGTTAGTTGGTGGGTATGGGTATTGGAGGAGGTATGGAGGTGATGTACCCCTTGTACAAAATCTCAAAGTGGGCCGTCTCAAAGTGGCGAGAACTGGGGCCATGGGGTACTTTCCCTGGAAGTGCTCACCTAAGCCGCCTGGCATATGGAAGGAGGGTTCAAAGCCCAAAGTCGAGCTAGGTCTTGTGCGCTCCTTTGGAGACGTAACGTGGATGGACAAAATCCGTTTGCTCCACGTTGAAACCATGGTTTGTTGGTATTTACAGGGGGAATCAATCATCCTGCACCACTTTGAAACCATGGTTTGTTGGCATTTGCAGGGGAATCGAATCCTTCCAGGGTTTCTGACCGGTGGCTTGGTTGATCCCAGCCATCCCCTTAGGCTTTTTAGGCTTTAGTGTTTCGTGGTGGTTTCCATTTAACCCACTAAAAGTTAGTCACTTTTAGCGGGGAATCTGAACACGGACAGCCCAGTATTGTTGTTTGTTGTCTTTTGTGGTCGGTTGTTTGTTGGCATTTGCAGGGGAATCGTCTCCTTCCAGGGTTTCTGAGTGGTGTGACACGGATTTCGGAGGCATCGAGGCACCTTCCGTGATGGTACCTGGGCAAACTGGGCGCGAGGATGGCCAGATCCTGGCCGGCACCTGGACCTTGACGGTGCCTGACCTCAGCTTGACGCTGACATCCAGTGGTGCAGTGATGACCCAGGATTAAAAAACCCGAAACCCATTGCATAGGGGGGTGTTCCCTCCAAAAGTGGTCTGAATACCCCACTAAAAAGGGGACACCCCCCGATTAGTCAACCAGGGGTTTATTAATCCGGGGTTAACATTAGTGTCCTTTTGCGGTTTCTTTTTTGGGGGGAGGGAACACTAAAAAAGACTACCGAAAAAAGATGGTAGCCTTATTCCAACCTCTCTACTGGAGGACCTCGATAAATTTTGTGGTTGTTTGCGGTCCATCCGGTGGTGCCCCATGTTGTTTGCAGCTTTATGTTGGAGGTTTCCCTCCAACAACACTCCGGTGGTGCCCCATTTTTGTTGCCGGCTTTATTTTGGAGGGGGGTTTCCCTTCAAGCCCAACCGCACTTCTTGGCGTTGAATAGACAAATGGTGGGTTTCGGCGCAGGGACTGTTCATCTGGAGTAGGATGTGTCAGCGACTTCAAGATGGACGGAGTAGTGACAGAAAAGGCGATGCCCCTGGAGATCTTCAAAGCCCTCAGCAGCCCCTGCAAGCGGGTAAAGCTCAGCCCATCTAAGCGAGGGGTTTCTGATCTATGTCTCAAGCCGGGGGCAAAGCCCTTGTTGATGGAACGGCAGCCTCCGGCGCAGCAGCCGAAGCATTAGGACTGGCAGAGAAGAAGAAGACGAAGAAGAAGAAGAAGAAGAGGAAGAAGAGGAAGAAGAAGAGGAAGAAGAAGAAGCGGAAGAAGACGGGGACGAAGAAGAAGAGGAATAATAAGAAGAAGCGGAAGAAGAAGAAGCAGAAGAAGCAGAAGAAGAAGAAGAAGAAGAGGAAGAAGACGGGGACGAATAAGAAGAGGAATAATAAGAATAAGAAGAAGCGGAAGAAGAAGAAGAAGGAGAAGAAGAAGAAGCAGAAGACGAAGAGGAAGAGGAAGGGGAAGACGATGAAGAGAAAAACATTTGCCGAGGATGGGACCCAGTACACCGGCGGCTTCCAAAGTCCCGACCTGAGAGAAGTTTGAGTTGCTTCTACTCATCCCAACGAGAGTTTTCTCTGTGGTTTGCATGTCGTTTCTCATGGCATTCCCTATGTTTTCCCTTTGGTTATTTTTGGGTTCTCTGTGGTTTTACTATAATTTCCATAAGGTTTCCCATCACGTTAAGTGTTGAGCTTCGCCTCCGCTTCATCTCCACGGAAAAGCCCTGAGTCTCAGGGTGGAAGTACATACCCCTTGTTCATATCCCTTGGCTTCCATGGTTTCCAACCCACTTGACAAGGGGTATATACCCCTTTTGGGGGGAGAGGCGTATGAACATCAGCAGGCCTTTTGGGTTCATTTGTCCAAGGGGTATGCAAAAGGGGTATGTACAAGCACCCCTGGACTGAATTAGCTAGCCCTTTTGTATTGTAACTGCCAAGCATGGAGCCATCATGCCCAGACAATCCAAGGGATCAATGCCAACACCACAATCCAAGCAGTGTGACTTCTTAGGCAAAAGGCGCAATTAATTCCAGACGTAAGGCCCTTGCATAGAAATTCCTGAAGAAGTATGCAGGCATGTCAAGACTTCGAAACCTTTTGAGGCTGGTCCGAAAAGAGAGCAACAATGACTCTTGCGGGCCTTTGCATGTCTATGTTTTGCTCCCATCGACCAACCACAAAATTGCAAGTTCTTGGTGTATGATAGTGATTCATTTAGATCCGCAAGACGTGGCTTTTTCGGACAGCAGGCGTTTTGAATCCTTCAATCAGAGGGTTGCTTCTGAACCCTTGCTGCGGGGTGGACCCTTCGGGGCCTTTGTTTTCCTACTGCGGACAAAATCCACTTCGCACCAGCCGGGATGGATGAAGCCCGATGAACACTGGGAACACCGCCTACCAACTTGTGCGAAGCGGATTTTGTGCGTCCACAGGACAGAGAGGTCCAAGACTACAGGTCTCTGGTTCTGAAGTTTGATGGTAGGATGTGGAAAACAACGTGTTCTGCGTTTCCACAGCGGTAGATTCCCATGACCCCTCTATCAAGTCAGTGGGGATTCTAGCGGTATCACAGAAATTGGCCCAAAAATCATTTTTCCACAACTATGCCCCACAAACCATGGAAAGTTGGCCCACCGAGAATCTCTCTTCCCCATGTGATGGCGTCTTCTTTCGCCAGATCAGAAGCCTTGTGGCGACGCCATCTGGAAGACGAAGCAAGGCAGGGACCAAAGACCTGTATTTGAGTGCGTGCTGTTTCGGGCCATGTTTGGGGTAAGGGAAACCTCTATTGGCTCAGTTGTTCAGTGGCACCAATTCTTTTCCCTTTTTTGGTGGCTGCCCCATTAATAAAGGTCCAAGCCCCAAAAAGGGTTCCCTCTTTTTTCCAGGGTCACTGAACTGAGTTGCCCCCTTCTTCGGTTGCAAATGGGTTCCCACGTTCGATCTGCATGGCTCGAGGGACGCTAAAGCCGCCAAAAACGCCATGAGGCTTCTAATCGACCTCAGGTGACGCTTTGTTTGGAAGCATTTGGGTAGTGTCAGACTAAGGGGACCCCCCCCCAAAAAAAAAAGAACGAGGAAGAAGGTGGTTTTCCTTTTAGTCCCCTTTCACCCGGCCTCAAAAGAGGGCAAATCCGCCCATGTTCACCATCGGTGCGACCTGGCATTGCCATAGGCACCCTGGTGGAGGGGTCCTACGTGCAGCAGGCCTTTTTTTTTTCCTTCTTTTTTTCTTCTTTTTCTTTTTTTCTCGGCTTCCTCGGGAGGAAAGCGGTCGGCTTCCACCAAATCGTCAGCTTCGGTTGGAGGGAGGGGAACACCATGTCCCTTTCACCCGCCAACATGGAACACCACCAATGCACGGCCAGTCCTTCGACGGGACTTGTCTTGCAGGGCCAGTTGCGTGCTGTTGCGTGGATGGGAGGGTAGCGATCTGTGTTATTTGCATGTGGGAGGGGGGGGGGGGGCGGTGCTCAAAGTAGGAATCGGCCCATGTCTTAAAATGGGCGGCGGTGTCCTTTTGGTTTCCCTTTAAAGTACATCAGTTTGAGAATCTAACGAGGGTTCTTCTTTTTTTTGGGGAACCGTTTTTGCTTGGTGTTTTAAAGGGACACTGAAGGGACACCAAGCGTTTTGGGGTTCCCCATGTTAAGACACACCCATGTATTTCTGCTGTCTGAAGGGTCCGACACATGCACCCTGAAGTACCCCTTGCATGGCCTGCATATGGGTACGTCTCAAAATAGGGGGGGCCCGGGACCCCCTTCCAATCGGCCTCCGATCTGGTTCCAGAGGGAATGAGTCCAGAAAGGCGTGACGTCCACATACTCTTGGCATCCCATACCCAAGTGATGTTCAGTAGAGTCACGAGAGGGAGCCCCAACCATAGGGGTACTTTCTCCCCCCCCCCCCCCAAACAAAAACAAAGGAAACAACCGGGGTGTTCCAGTGGTCAGGTTTTCCCAGCGGTCTATGATACTATGCCTTTGCCCGGGCAGGTGGTGCCGCTGGATTCGGCGCCCCCGGCCAAGCAAGGAGCCCCAGAACCGGGTGTTTGGATCCGCGTCCACGGCAAAAAAGGCCACGGTAATGTTGACCCAGGATCAATAAACCCGTAGTATTAGGGGGGTGTTCCCTCCAAAAGTGGTCTGAATCCCCACCAAAAGGGGACACCCTATTAATCAACCAGGGGTTTGTTAATCCGGGGTTAACCTTAAGGGGAACGACTGGGATGAACACGGCGCCAGTTTCTGTGAGCCAAAGGAGCGTCCTTGGAAGCGACAAAGTAGTCTTGGGGGATGGCCTGCTTTGGTATTCTAGGGGTTGACTCCCCATTCTTTTCAACCATCGTTCTTTTCAAAAACCAACTGTTTTCCCTGGGTTTTTGATGGTTTCCTGAAAAGAAGGATTCCCTGGAAAGAATGGGGAAGGTACCCCTAGAGGTATTGCGGAAGGAGTAATTTCCCACAACACCACGCCAATTGATGGGTTGACGGATTTGCGAAGGCATTTTGACCGCTCGTGCAAGAGCCATGGTTGATCTGGTGCGCCTGTTTTCTGAGCTGTGAAGGTGAAATTTCACGGACCCATTTGACTGACTCAGTCGGGGCATAGTCATGCTGCCTTTCCGACAGAAAGCACATGCTGGGAATCCCTCTTGAATTGATTGAAGTTTTCTGTGGATTTCGCAAAGCTCCATAGGTGTGGTTCCCTTTTTTGAGGCTAATGTTTTGGGGTTGGTTCTTGAAGGGAAAGAAACAGGAACAATTATTTGTTTGAGCCGCTACACAAATATATTGCGGCCACTTCCGAAAATCCTCGTGGCTTTGCTCTCGGCTGCCAACTCGCTCTCCAAAGCGGCCGGGCCGCGCCGACAGTTGCGGAAGAGTTTGGCTGAAAGCCCTTTTCTGGTTAAAGAGCCCCCCAAAGTGCATGACTTTTCCTGGGTTTCGGAACCCAAGAGTGCAGATTGCCAACCCTCCCTTCTGGAGGTGACCAGTTCGTTCACATCCAAAATCACCTGATCCACCAAATATATCTTTTCTCCAACTCGGCTAAACAAGGTGGGAAGCTCGCCAGCTCCTGGCCAATCTGCCGAATTCGGAGAAACCCCCCTGGTTCCTTGGTGGCTCCCAGCCATCCGGTTCCTTCGCTTTTTAGATCCTTTTAGTGTTGACATTCGGTAGTTTCCGAATTTAACCCACTAAAAGTTAAACCTGTAGCAAGGGATCTGAGCACAGCCCAGTTTTGGTTTCCCCTTCAAGCCACCGAAGAACGGGTTCCATTCAATCCACTAAAAGTTCGTCACTTTTGGCGGGGGCATCTGAAAACGGGCAGCCCAGGAGTGGCTTTCCATGGGTCGTTCCTTAGGAACGGGGAGCCGCCGGCGGTGGTGACCAGATGCTTCTGGCACACCGCGGCCCTGGTGGAGAGTTGAGATCCCTGGAAGGCGGGAGGTCTGGGGGAGGTCTGGAAGGTCTGGAGGCCCAAGGAGTGGAGGCCCAAAGGAAGCCGCGCCTCGAGGGTTTTGGCCGCCGAGGGTTTTGAGGCAAACAATTCTTGAGCCCATGGCAAGGGGCTTGGAGGGGGGAAAAAGGATCGCACGTTTTTTTTCTTCTTCAATGCAACGTGCGTATGTAGAAGGGTTGTTCCGGGGGAAAACTGGGACCTTAAACTGAAGGTTGCTAACGTTGCTAAGCTCACTCCTGGACCGACCATCTAAATACCTCTCTTCGCCTGACTGCATTTGCCGGTTCCGACTCCTCTCACCATGATTAGGTCTGGTAGTAGCGACTTCTTACGATCAAAACCCGGGTTTATGAAGGGTAAAGGGTAGTCCCAGCCAGAAATACGTGCGGATATCTGCCTTTTGTTTTTTTTTCGTGGCAGACCGGTGGACCCTTCAAAATTTTCGGGGTCAGCCGGACCATGCTCCAGGTGTTAAGGGGGGGGAGGTATCTTCCACAGCCGGGGCCAGGGTGTTGCATTGGGCGAATCGGACATCTAAGGTTTTGTTCGCGAAGGATCGCATTGACTTGGTGTGGTTAGTGGATTTCGCACTGTGCTTGGCTGCTTGAAGAATGGATCTAGAGCTGCCTGTGTATTTTGCCAGATTTGTTTTGCAATTGTTTGCCCATCTCACGGAAGGTTCCTGTTTCATTCCGGGTCCATTCCAGATTTTGGCGAGTGGTGGGCTTCATTCTTCCCTTTCCCTCAGGGGGCCTCCGGATCTTTTCAACCTCGAGTTCGCGCAAGGACGTCGTTTCAGGGTTCCAAGTTGCTTTCTTTACCCCAAGGTCGACCCGAACCCAGGTTGATTTCCCTGCCCAGATGGACCAGGTTGTTTGAAGGCCCTAAATCAAACGGAAGCCTCTGGGGGAAACCCAAATTGGGTCAAGGTCCAGTCCTTTGGACCCAAAGCCGAGCTGCCGCCAGGCGCGCAGGCGCCGCGTCTCGCGTCACACGCGTCTCCGCGAGAGTTTTTCTCGTCGTTTCACCCGCGGGACTGGCAGACGTCCTCTTGCCCCGCGCAAGGCGGATGGAAAGAGAAAGGTGGCGCTTTTTGGCGCGGGGTTTTCGGTTTGCCCGGGTGTTTCTGAAGGCATAAAATGCCCTCTTTTCGGGGTTGTTGTTGCATTGGAGTTGGTTGCCACACCTGACATGGAGAGGGAAGCCAAAGAGGAAACCGTGCTCGATTTGGGGAAACATGCGTTTGGCTACATGGACAACATGTTGCATGCTCGGGGGAAGGGGGAGGAGCGAGGACTGGATTTTTTCGGACCCCGAAAGATTTTCAAGCAGCTTCTTTAGGCCTTTCTTGGGGCAGAGGGCGTAGGACGTACCTTCACAGTTTTGGTTTGGAAAGGACTGCTTCGGATCCTCATATCCACCAAGTGCCCGGTTCTTCAGAGGCACCTTTCGTCTCGTTTTGTTTCTCTGGTGCATTTTGCCAAGGGATGTTAGACCTTTAACTTTTGCCAACTAATGGTTTTTCCGTAAACCACAATCAACACCCGGGTAGATGAAGGTTAGTAAGGGGCAGTCCCAGCCAGAAATAGTTGCGGATAGATATCCGCCTTATTAATTCTTTACATGGTTCTGGGTTTTGATTGTGACTCACATGTTGTCTCCTTTTGCTTGGAGGGTCTTGATTGTTTCCCCCGCTTGTGCAGGGCAGGTTCTGCGTGCCGAGGGGCTGCATGCCGCGTGCCTGCTGATGTGCGCAAGTGAACACAAGATGAGAAGGACCAATGGTTGATTTGCAATATTCAGGAGGACAGCTCTGGCAGTGAACCCACCGAAGTAAAGAAGGATCCAGAAATATATTCGTATGTATACATATAGATATACATATCTAAACAAGTAATAATATATAGTTTTTTCCAACACACACACACACAAGCACACACACACACAAGGTGGCCTTCTGATTTCCTACGAGATAGGAGTCAGAATGCGTGCAGAGCAACCTTTTGCGGGAAGCACCCCCGCACATGTCAATCTTGGGGATGAACTCTCGTGGTTGTTCTCAATATCAACAAATGCGGCCATTCACCGAACGGTGAGCGCCCTTGACACGCATTGCAACGAATGAACGACCACGCTTCCGCTGAAACAGGACTCAAAGAACCAAGACTGGCCAAAAGCACTCCATCTGCCCCAAAAGCACTGGTGCGGGGGCTTTGTCCTTTCCAGTCTCTTTCCTTCTTTGGGGCTTGGGCGCTTCACTTCCCCAAAAGCACCGTTGGGGCTTTGTCCTTTCCGGATTCGGTTTCCTCGTTGGTGCCCTGGTGCATCCCGGGGTCCACACAAATTGACTCCTTGCGCCATGGGCTCGGCGCTGTCCTGGGACCCGCTGAGCCTGTGCGCGGCCCCGGCGAACACGTCGACGGCGGTGTCCAGCTCGGTGAGGAAGGAGGAAGATGCCTGGGAGGTGGGGGGAGGTGGGGGGAGGGGGGCGAGCTCCAGAGGTGGGGCGATGTTGGGGGTAGAGGTTAGATGTTTTCATGTTGGCGGCTTCTTACTTGAAGCGACATAAATGATAAATCTTTTGACAGGCCCTCACTCTAAGGAGTAACAGTGTAGCTGGGTGTCAGAAGAAAAGTCAGATGGGACTAGATTTGCTTGGGGCCTCTTTTCTTTCCCAACCGCCCAACCGTTTTTTTGACGCCTTCAATTTACTTCTCACTTTTGGCAGACAGAAACAGGTCAGGCCCCTTTTGTTTGGACAGGTTTAAAAGGAAAGCGGTGCTCTTGAGTGTGCACTCAAATCAGCCCCACTGGCACTGCAGATCAATGTCAGGTTGCAGGTGTATAGGACCGTTGAGGCGTTCATCCATCCCAAAGAATGGGGGAGGGTACAAATGAACATGAATCCGAACAAACTCGTCCCTCAAAAAGAGACCCCTGTATATGCATATTCCGGTCTGTTGGGTTCCATGTAGTCTGGGGAGCCCCTTGCTGATCCGGTTTGTGCAGCGAGGCCCCCGCAAATAGGACGACTGTCCGTTTTGGAAGCAGAATGCGTCTTGGAAGTCCAGCGAATCTCGAGTCTTCCAACGAAACCACCAAAGTCTCCCTGGAGCTTCTCGCCAAATTTTTGGGTCGTGGAAGGGCTCTGCCAAGTGTGCCTCAGCTCTTTGGGAAGTCACCAGACCAGAAACCTGAAAAGAATCCACACTTTTTCTTTGGTGCATTTTGCTAAGGGATGTTAGGACTTTAGCTTTTGCCAACCTTGTTGGGTTTTCCGAATTAAACCACTAAAAGTTAGTCACTTTTAGCAGGGGAGCAGAAAGCAACCGAGTTTCGACAGCCCTTCAGTCAAGTCGATTCAGGTGGAGCAGGCGATGCTTCAGGCTGGATTCCGCTAGATTCGGAGCAAGACCCCCGCTTGTGGGGTCAAGGGTATTTGATTTCAAGTAACCCCCCCCCCCTCCAAACAAGTTGGAAGAAAAGAAGCGGAAGCAAGCCACGGGGTGATGCCCCCCCAAAAAAGAAAAGAAAAGCGAAAGGACGTGGAAGCGGAAGCCACGTGATGACCGGAAGCAAAGTGTTGAGAAAGGAAGCGGTTCCGCCAGCCCCTATGATCTGCGATCAGCTTTCGGATGTCCATTTTAGGGGAGGCAATCTTCTCGCAAAGGGCCCAAAGGGTACCATATCCTTAGGCCAAAACGACACCATGCACCGGTTTTCGGGGGTAGCATTTTCAGGATCTGAGAACTCCTGTAGTATCTTTTGTTTGAGTCCTAGGTTTCGGGATGAAGTTTTGGCACGAGCCCCAAATAGTTTCCCTTGGGCTCTTTTTAAACCAAAGCCCAAACGGGTGGCCTGTAAATAGGTGCTACAACAGGTTTGGCCAAAACATTCGGGAGGGACATGGGGAACGCTCACACTTTCCGTGGATTCACTATTTTTGCGGATGCCGAATATTTTGACCGTGTCTCATATGTACAAATAAAATGCTCCCGGATTGATCTGGGAAAACCACATCAGCAAAAAGGTTTGGTTCACGACCTCACCCACCCACCATTCAGATTAAGCAGCCTGGAGGATTCATATCCGGTGGCAGCCAACACGACTTATGTAGTTGGAACGTATTGGATGTTACCAGAGATGGCCGTGCAACTTTCTAGATTCATTGGTGTTTCTTTTTTGATACCAGGTTTGGTGACTCTTTTGAGCAAGATCCAGTCTCACACATTTCCATAATCTCATTGATGTGTGTTTCCTCTTTCTTTTTTTCTTCTCTGTATTCAGCAATGCTATTTAGGATTCACTTTTTATTGTTACATATGTGTGATTCACCATGTGTGATTAGCTTTTTACTCCACGATGTGTGGCTCATTATTGCTGATTCACACTTATATACCTACATTATATATAATATATATATATAGATATATACATAATATGTCTTTTTGAGGATCTCCATTTGGGCATGGTTTTAAGGAAGGCCACATGAGCCAATTTTGGGGATGCCCTATATGTACACAAACACACGCACGCATATCATCTTCAACCCCTCTCAACAGTTGCTGTCCCGAAAGGCATTCTAGGAGAACCGAGCCTCGCGGATTGCAGAACAGAGGCGGTTGATGCAGTGAGGGGCTCCACTTTTCTATTTTGTGAAGAGGCCAGACGTGTTTGTGGTTGTCTTCTGCGAGGGTACACTAAACTTGGAGACCAATTCCCTTAATAGGGCATGAGAACATGTGTATGATATTTCATGCAGTTCATTTGCCAAGATAGTTGGTGGACTTGCAACCCCAATGTGCAAGATGTCCGTCGCAGGGGTCCCGAATACTCGTGCTGTGGATGGACAAAGTCCACTTCGCATCAGTTACTAGTTGGTCGGTGGTTTAGCCCAGTATTCATCCACACTAGCGCAAAGTGGATTTCGTCCATCAACATGTGTTCTTTTCCGAATCCCCATTTTGATACATACTCATACTGTGGATGGACAAACTTCTGCACCAGCTGGGATGGATGTGCTGGATTTCGACGTCACCTATGTCACCAGCTGCGCAGGAAGCCTTGTACCAGAGCATGGAGCAAGAGCATTTCGCCGCGCTCGATGAGCAGGCGGATGCGGAACTGCAGGCGGGCATGGCAATTTCGTGAGGACCCGCAGTTGGGTTCCCAGTTTTTTAACCCAACCTATTTGCTGTTGCAACCTTGGCCACAGGGCTCATGGATGGGGAAGATAGGGTTGATGGAGCACCCAAATATCGCCTTCGGGAACAAGGGAAGCCCACTTCATCGTCAGTATTTTGCCATGGCTTTGGGGTTGGATGTGGTTGGGTTGGATGTGATTGGCTTGACATGGGTGCGGTTCTGGGTTTGTGAGGCGCACCCTTTACATGGTTGTCGTTGGGCAATTTTTCATTTTTGCTTATTGTGGTTGAAATCCAACCACTTACCTGCTAAATTTTGAGAATTTTTGCTCCCCTTCCAACGTCAACCAAGACTTATGTTCGGTTCCTTGCCTTTTTTAAAGAGAGCCACAGGCGCAAAGCGGGGGGATTCCACCGCCACGCGCTGGACAAGCCCAACTGCTTCCCCCATGCAACTCCAGTGCTCGTCAACGCAAAATGAGGTTCGGTGCAAGTTACTGGTCGTCTATGGTTCATTTGGGACGGACATGGGGAAATTCAATTCCCCACAAAAACCAGGGGACCCACAACATTTCCCATGCGCTTGGGCTCTACATATATATTATATATAAGCCTTCAGGTTGTTGGTGGAAAATATCAAGGTCGTCTTGTGCTCGCGTATGCTATCAGGATCTCCCTGCTCATATGAGGGGCTAGGTAAATTAGGTGATTTTCCTACAAGGAAGGATGAGTTAAATGGATTTACCCTCCCTCCAACAGTCATGGAAGTGGACAGGGTGGTTCCCCCAAAATTTAAAACCGTCTTGCAACACCCTCCTGTCAGCTTCCATGATTGTTGGAGGGAAGGTGTCGCTCTGGAGGATCAAGTAGGGGCCATTTCTTGGTGGCTCAAAACAATGATTACCCAACATTGCACCTCAAGTGAAACCAAAGACAAATACCTGCGGAATTGCCCAGGGGCCCTGGCTCTTTCATTTTGAGCACCCATGTTGACCTTCAAGGGAAAACCTGAAAGCCGGACAAGCGGACCCCGCGGCTCTGGCTCCCGTCGGGTTTTCTCGTGCGCTCGTTGAGGCGGCGCTGCAGCAGAGCCTGCAGCCAGTGGCGCGCCAGGAGCCCTGCGCCACGGATCTCGTGATCTCGGATCGAGCCAAAGCGGCGATCGTTTTGAGATGGGCGCCACCATTAAACCATGGTTGTTGTTGGGAAACATGTTACATTTTTGCTTATTGTGGTTTAGTGGGAAATCCCCACTTCATTGCTAAACAATATTTTGCTGCTCCCCTTCCAAGGTCAACCAAGAAACTGAGCAACCTTGCGGGGGGCAAAAATTGTTTGCGACCTGTGGGGGATTTCATCCTTTGTGACCTGCACAATTTCGGGTTTGGCTTACATCTGCTTAGGAATTCTTTCTCTTCTCCAGTGTTGGAGTTTCAAGGGGATCTATCACCCGAACTATGCGCTCTTTTCCAGGGACCCTTCTGCAAATGGAAGTTTGGCGTGAGGGTCGCCAAGGACAAGGTGAATGAGTTCCCCGTGAATCACTTTCGTGTTTCCCCGAAGAACATTGCGTGGAGTTTCCCCGTTTCCCCCTCAAACACTTTGCAGCCCCCTTTACCCGCTTCGCCTTTTTCGCTGTATTTAACAGCCCCCTTAAACAGCTTCACTTGGCCTTCTTGCTTTTGGACGTGCCGACGTGCCGCTTTCTTCAAACAGGATTCGGGGTGGTTTCAAGACCCACATCTTTAGAATGAGAACCCACATCTGCAAAATGAAAACCCACATCTTTAGAATGAGACCCCACATCTTTAGAATGAACGCCCACATCTTTACAATGAAAACCCACGTCTTTAAAATGAACACCCACATCCTTGAAATGAAAACTCACATCTACAAAATGAAAACCCACATCTGCCAAATGAAAACCTACGTCTTTAAAATGAAAACCCACATCTTTAGAGTGAACACCCGCATCTTTAAAACATATCTGCAAAATGAAAACCCACATCTTTAAAATGAAAACCCACTTCCTTAAAAAGAAAACTCACGGCTTTAAAATGAGACCCCACATCTTTAAAAATGTGAACCCACGTCTTTAACAGGAAAACCCACATCTTTAAAATGAATACCCACGTCTTTAAACTGAAACCCCACATCTTCAAAATGAAGGCCCACATCTTTAAAATTCAAACCCACGTCTTTAAACTGAAAACCCACATCTTTCAAATGAAAACCCACATGTTTAAAATGAACCCCCACATCTTCAAAATGAAAACCCGCATCTGCAAAATGAACACCCCATCTTTACAATGAAAACCCACAGCTGCAAAATGAACACCCACATCCTTGAAATGAAAACTCACATCTACAAAATGAAAACCCACATCTTTAAAATGAAAACCCACATCCGCAAAATGAAAACCCACATCTTTCAAATGAAAACCCACATCTGCAACATGAAACCCCACATCTTTCAAATGACAACCCACATCTTCAAAATGAAAACCCACATCTGCAAAATGAAAACCCACATGTTTAAAATGAAAGCCCGCGTCTGCAAAACGAAAATCCACATCTGCAAAATGAAATCCCACATCTTCAAATTGAATCCCCACATGTGCAAAATGAAAACCCACATATCGGAAACCCACATCTTTAAAATGAACACCCGCATCTGGAAAATGAAAACCCACATGTTTAAAATGAAAACCCACATGTTTAAAATGAACACCCACATCTTTAAAATGAAAGCCCACATCTTTAAAATGCAACCCCACATCTTGAAAATGATCACCCACATTTTTTTCCATGAAAACCCACATTTTTACAATGACAACCCACATCTGCAAAATGAAAACCCACATCTGGAAAATGAAGACCCACATCTTCAAAAAGGTTTGGGGTGGGTGTTTTTCACGGTCTGCGTCGTCCGGGTCGAGGAGAGCGAGGACTTCCCGGAGGAGCGGCTGCGCCTGCTGGCGCTCCTGGAGATGCTGGGCCTCAGGCGCGGCGTTTTCGCCGCGGAGTTCGGCTCGGGGAGTTCGGCGGGGGAGTGGGCGGTGGTCGGCTTGTTGGCTTGGCCGTTGGTTTGTTGTTTTGTATGTTTTCCTTTTTGTTTGCTTAAAAGAAAAGACGTGTGGGTGTTTTTCTGGAACTGGAGCATTCGATTTTGTTGCGGAAGCTGAACATTTGGGTCGAAATAGGTGGGTTCCGAAGCATTTCTGCGGGGAGTCCTCATTTTAAAGTTGGTTTTCTGAGAAAATTGTGTTTCCCCCCTTTGGCTTTCCTAAACCACACAAGAGATAGATTCCCTGCATCGCTTTTCGGCTTGGTTGGGTTTTGGTGGCTCCGAAAGTGATCCAGATTCTCTCGTGGAACGCCTTCAAAGGGGGATTTCCAAGCTGAAGTACGGGTCAGGTCCAGAAAAGGGGGAGGTGCCATAGGTCACTTTACCACAGTTGCCAGTGCCATGGCTCACAGAAGATGGCACAGATGGGTTTTCACTGGTTTGAGTAAGACAGTTGCTTCACCAATCCCTGGCCTTTGTTTTTGTTTCTAGTTTGGCAATGAATATATAAGCCTCATTGCTTTCGGCTTTCAACCACCCCGCTTTTCCTGCAGAGTTGGCCGCCTTTTCCTTCAGAACCATTCCTAGGCCTTGAACTTTTTCCGCCAACGATTCGATGCGTTTCGCTTTGAGGTTGAAACCTTTTAGAACTATTCACCCCAGAGGTTTCTTCCCACTTCTGTGATACAAGGAAATCTCCCCTTTATATGGGGTGGTAGTCGTTGGGAAGCCCTTTTTGTTGTGTCACAGAAGTGGTCATTTCCCACAACCCTGCCCCCCAAAAAAAACAAACATAGAACCTGCCTTCCAGGAACCGGGGCCTTCCAGGAACCCTAGGAACCCTGCAGGTACGTTTGCTGAAATCTGAGGGTACCCGTGGAATCCATCTGCGTTCTGTTGGCGCTCTGCCATGGAAAAAAGAAGAGGGGAGGGGGGTGTGGGGGTGTGAGTAAGAACACCTAGAAACAGGCCACCTTCTTTCTTGGCAATTTGGCACGTATGCCCCTCCTGAACAACTTACAATGGGAAAACGTCCCGAAAGTGTGGCCGTAGCCGTACTCGTTGTGGCAAAGAGGCAAAATTCATTCAAACAAGTTGAAACCACGGTTGTTGAATCTTCAATTCACTCCGTTCCAGTTGCCCATGGGCCGTTTGTGCATGTTTTTTGTTTTGACCTTGGACTCGTCTTTTCACTTCTTGGTGTAAACAGTTTCAACCGCAAATGAGTGAGAAACAACCAGACTTCTTGGGCCAAGAGAAAGAACACCAGGTTGATTCAGCAGGGTTGAACCGGTTCGCTAGGGGGATACAGATGGGTGTGGCTCAATATTCAACAGCTGGGGAAAACCGCAGGTGATAATGTGATTGTCTCCATATACCAAGGTGGCATTTTGGTACATTTGTTTGAGCAGCCAGATCACTTCCGGGAGAAGCTCACCTTGCGCTTTTCCCCTCATTGACTCGCTTGCTGGGCTCGTTTCGTTCGGGGTGCACGGAAGGCGCTTGGACGTTGGCTCCACCAACATCAACGAGGGCCTGGCACGGGGGAAAGAGGTTGCAGGAACCTGGAACGAAGTGCCAGGGATTCGTCAAAACCCAACTTAGCAAAGTGCCGCAATGTCGACTCATGGTTCCTGAAAAGTGAAAGATCTTTCCTTTTGGTTTGAATTCCCCACCATCCGAAAACGATGCGTTCTTGACACATCCACTGCATGAATGATAGCTTCGAGGAGATGAAAGGCATCATGACCATGTTCCCTATGTTTCTCCTTCTGGCCGATTTGAGCGTCAACTGTTGGGCCCATTTCAGATGAGTTTCCTGAACAATTCTTGACACGGCGGTTGGCCAAAATTAGGTCCCTCTGAAAGCGAATCAGACTTCCTTTTGGAACTACTTCCTCTTTGGGTCCGGGAAACATGTATGATCCCCTGATGCATGATTTCACTTGGGCTCCTTGGAATTTCCTCTTGGGATCCTTGTGGAACCCAATCTGGCGCGCCAAGAGTTTTTAAAGCCGCTCCGACAACCCCCGCAGGCGCAACACCCCCTAGACACGCCGATCAAATAGTTTTGGTCTATGTCCGTCTTTCGCAAGGGGGGCGAGTGCCCTCCCACCAATTAACATGGAACCCGACAGGGGGGTCCAGGAAGATCATTTTCCTTTCAAAGGGACCTGCCAGGTTCCATGTTAATTGGAGGGTAGGACAAAACGGGGCGCTCGTTGGAAGGGAGCTGAGCCGCAGAGATGAGAGGATCTACCCTTTCCCAGAGGATTACGTGGAAGCTCCAGGACCCCGAAATGGAAGACGTGGGAGGCTCATTGGTGGAGCTTCCATGCTAGTCTCAGGGAGTGTAAATTTGCTTTTGAAAGAGGGAACGAATCGGAGCTACCAGGAGTTCTGATTAAGCACTCGGTATTGGTAGTTGGGGTTGGGTCCTTTTGTTTTCCAAGGCGCTTTGGAGCATCCAACAGGGCGGGGGGCAAACACGTGCACATGGACCCTACACCCTGACCTGATCCTAAACCCACTCTTGACTCATCCCAAACCCATGCTTTTGGTAGGCCAGTTTATCTTTGTTGCATGCGTTTGTTCCCCACATTTCCGTTTCATCATCACCCACGAGGAAGCTCACCAAACAATCAGCGCAAAAGGTGATGTGTCAACCACCTCAAACTGGGGGGAACCTTGAAAATCGGCGGCTACACGCCTTGGAATCACAGGAGGCTCCAAGCCCCAAGATTCGCGGCGGGCCAAATGATCCCAAGCGAAGGCATCAATTGGACGATGTTTTTTTTTTTTTTTTTTTTTTTTTTTTTTTTTTTTTTTTTTTTTTTTTTTTTTTTTAAATATATATATATATATATATTTTATTTTTATTTTTTATTATTCCACTTCATTTTAACTGAGAACCAGCAAGTTGATGGAGAAGTTTGGTTAGAAATAGATGGAAAAACACCACCGGTTTAGATTCAAAGCCTTGTTGAAAGCACACCTCTGCACCTGCGGCAATCCCCTTCCACCGGTTCTCGATCTCCCATCGGCATCTCTCGCACCGATGCCACTTCACCTGGGCGGCCTTTTTGAAAGGACGGGCATGCGCCAGGGAATCCCCTTCCACCGCTTCATTCCATTTTTTTTGGTGGATGTTAGGACTCTAAAACTTTTTGCCAACTAATGGGTTTTCCATTAAACCACTAGAAGTTAAACGTTTAGCAGGGGGGCAGAAAGCAACCGAGAAACTTCTTCTGCATTTCTCATGCAGCCATCGCAAGCGGACAGGCGGGGAGCTGCTGGGGAACCAGTGCTTCTACCTCGCCATCGCCCGGTCCTGGCTGGCCAACTGCGCCGAGGCGGATGGACGCGTCGGACGCGTCGGACGTCTCTCGAAGCGTCTCTCGAAGCGGACGCGAAGAAGTCTCCAAGACGATGGGCGAAGCGAGTCTTCGGTGGTTTTTTTGGGGCATCCTCCCCCAGTGTTTTGGCAGTTTTAAGGGACACCAACAGGGAAACCGAAGCCCTTTTTTGGGGGCTCCCGGAAAAAAAGGAAGAAGAAACGACACACTGAATACACTGAATACATTTTTTAGGGTTTACTGAGAATGGGAACAGAATGTGGACATGCTAGTTTCTCTGTCCAGTGGGCGTGTCTTTGTTGGGGCTCGGGTAACAGAAGCAAGCCAAGTCTGTTTTTGCCCCATGGCCGCTGGGGGTTTGGGAGAATTTGCAACTCAAGCGGAAATCCAGTTGGACTGAAAAATAGGGGAACTCCAAAGGAGTGTTAAATCTTTTTTTTGCACGTGGTGTCCCTTTAAGCCAATCCATAAAAACAAGTACCCTACAAAAGACACACCCAAATAGGCTCGGCAAGAACCGTCCTGTTAGTTGTTTTGTGCCGTGGGCTTTGGGTAGAAGCGACTTGCTCAAAGCCTGGGCAAGGTTCTGTCGTCAGACAATCGATACCGAATCACAGGTCGCGAGACTTTCTTCTCGCCACGATTGAAATGGCTGTAGGTCAAAGCCAATGGTACCATTTTGGGGTAGGTGCACCACCCATTTTTGTCTATTTTAGTGGGGATTGGGATGTTCACTGGGGGTACGGGATTTTGACCCATGGCCAAATGAATATTCTATATACCAAGCAAGTAAAGCGATCCAGTTGTTTTTGTGTTCCTCCTTTCCCCGGGCTTTCCTTTTGCCCCGCACGTTTTGGAAGAGAGGGCGTCTCCCAAGAGTGGGGCTCGGCGGTACGCTTGGGCCTCCCTTTGTGGGTTCCTTTCCCTCAGCTTCCTTCCCAAAACTCCGGTTGACTCGGAGAGAACCAGCCAAGGCCCTTGGTCCTTCAGAAGAAGGAAACTGAGGGGACGGAAAGGTAAACTCAGCCAAAATGGCTCCCTTTGCGCTGGGGTAGTCAAAATTTTGGGGACTCAGTCAGAAACTGGTTGGTGGCTTCCCTTTGAATGGAGGAAAAGGTAAATCCTTCTTGAGGCCAACGGCATGCTGGTCCGTGACTCCGCGCTGCAGCTGAAGCGGGAGATTGAGACCTGCGTGCTGTTGGTCCGGGGCGACCAAGGCGGGCGGATCGGATTCTTTCGCGTCTTGCTGGTGCTCAGCAGGGAATGTGGGAATGAACCCAGGGGTCCCCTTAATGGAAACCACAAGGGATGGTTTACAAGGATCATTGCCTCATTCCTGGCTGAGCACCAGCAAGTCTTGCAGAGAAAGCGGAAAGGCCATTGTTGAAGGTATCCGTTTTGAAACTGCTTAGAGGGATATCAGAGGGAACTACCTGTTTTGGAGGGTTCCCCGTGCGAGCCAAGTCGACACGGGGAAATAAAAGGGCCCGAATTCCGATTGCCTACCCTTGTGATCATTTTTAGGGTCTCGGAGTACCCCGGGGAACGGCCTTTCGATTCGAGAAAAGTATTGGGACACATCCCTTGTTTTCTTCTGTGTTTGAACATCAAGAGAATCAATGGAGCCCCAGCAGCCAAGAAGCTGAAAGACTCCGACTGACAGGTGCCACTTTGAATCTCGAAGTTCACTGGCATCAGTTTGATTCCTTTGTGAGTGGAACCTATAAGTAGGTTTTTGTTTGGGTATCCCCGAGGAGGCACAAGGAGGAACGGTCCAACGTTTGTTTCAACTGTTCATGGTTTTCCAAAAGCACGTGCAAAAGCGGGGTTTCCCGGCAATGGGACGCTTGCTCTTGGAGGCGTTTCTAAGACAGATCCGGCTTTTTCCATCAGCCGGCTCAAAGGCTTCGTGTTGCATCTGCACGTTGCATGAACCATATCTTTTCGAATGTAGGAAGAGAGCCCAGGGCAAGCAGGTTGCCAAGTTGCAACCATGACTAGAATTAGAACCGGGTAGGAAACCGTAGTCGTAACCAAGTCGTAACCAGGTCGTAACCAAAACTATCCAGGAGAACCAAGCAGCAACTGTTCCCTTTCTGAAACCCGTTTCATAGCCCAAGAGGCTTCAACCGAGGTTCACCCCCGTTCCGGGAGTCCACTTCGGGGTCTCAAAATAAGGGGTGTAATCCTCGAGAGCCGTGGAATTTTCCGGAGGCCGCCAATTCAGGCCTATCGACCAAAGTAACGTCCTGGTTGGGGAAGAACGGACGGAACTTTGAACTTGAAGCCACCTCCAATCTCCAGACGTGTTGACAGGTTGCCACCTGACTCCTTGAAGCACCATCTCTTTAAAAAAAAAAAAACCTCCATTCCTCATGCGTTTCGGGACCAATTCAAAGGCTGCCCTCCCGCTCACATCAAGAGGAAGTTGATCTTCAGGGAAACCATGTTAGTGGGATCTCCTCTTTTGAGTTCTGTACTTGTCTGACGGAAAGTCCAGTGGCGTGATGGATCGAGCTCACTTAAATTACTGCAACCCGGGCATTCCATGTCTGGCAATTGAAACGGCTATGAATTTCACCAGGGAACCACCTCAAAAGTGGTTGGTGGACATGACTCCCTTCCGAATTTTGATGTCCACCAAAGGGCCCTCTACTGAAACTCACACCCAAATCTGGATGCGATAGTACAAGCAAAGCCTTTGGGAATTAGCCGATTTTCAAATGCCCAACTGTGGCGAGACTAGTCTTCTTTGGGGGAAGTGTAACCAGCACACATGATTTTGGACCGACTGCTTTTGAGCCCGTTGAAGCTTTACTTGTGGCGCAACATTCGTTCCATTGCCATTTGCCCGCTCGCATATCGACTTTGCAGCCGTGCAATGACCAGAAAGCTGAAGAAGCACCTCCTTCAGCACTTTCCGCCAGGGCTGATTGGTGGCTTGCCCAGGATGGGATGGGAGTGCTATTACAAGTCTCAGTTTGTCATTGAGAATGCGCGCACGGCGGATTCGCGATTGCGCAGTCTGACTCCGGATGTCAAGATAGTTCGATGCGCCGAGACGGCCTTTCGTCTCCAAACTTCTGGGGCCCGGGCTTTCCCTGAGATGACCAAGGTCGGGATGTGGCAGGCCTGGATACTTTGAAGCGATACCTTCGGGTCCAGAGAAATCTTAGACTAGGTCCCCCAGTAGTGCCCGTTTACCCTTGTTTCGGGGAGGGTTGCCCTACTAAAATAGAGCACAGAAACAAGGATACCCATATTCTAACCTCTCAACTGGAGGACCTAGTTAGTTGTGGTCACCCCTCGAAGGAGGAAGCTCCAGAGGGCGACGCTTTATCAGTCTGGTTGCGACCTTGTTTGGTGCAGTCTGCTGCAAGGCGGTGCGGGTGGGTGTTGGCGTGGTTTCTAAAGCAGCAGCAGAATTGCTACGCCCGTTCGTATCGTGGTTTCGCTGTTGGACCAACTTCTCTTGCACGATTCAGTGGACACGTTGTCCTTAGTGGTCAACTTTCGGTCAGTAACTCTGCCATGATGTTTCCGGGGGGAGCTGGGCCTGATATGGGTGCGTGTCTTTTGGATCTGGGCCCTCAAAACGGGTGGTTTGAGTTCACCGACCCCAAAAATAAGTCCCAACACAAGACACGGATGTGGGTTCCTTTGGTTTTCATTGCAAACCACACTCCACGCGACATGGTTTCCTTTGGTTTCAATGGAAACCACAAATCAAGCGACAGTGTTTCCTTTGGTTTCCATTGGACACCACACTTCAAGCGACAGTGTTTCCTTTGGTTGGAAACCACACTCCAAGCGACAGTGTTTCCTTTGGTTTCAATGGAAACCACAAAATCAAGCGACAGTGTTTCCTTTGGTTTCCATTGGACACCACACTTCAAGCGACAGTGTTTCCTTTGGTTGGAAACCACAAACCAAGCGACAGTGTTTCCTTTGGTTTCAATGGAAACCACAAAATCAAGCGACAGTGTTTCCTTTGGTTTCCATTGGACACCACACTTCAAGCGACAGTGTTTCCTTTGGTTGGAAACCACACTCCAAGCGACAGTGTTTCCTTTGGTTTCAATGGAAACCACAAAATCAAGCGACAGTGTTTCCTTTGGTTTCCATTGGACACCACACTTCAAGCGACAGTGTTTCCTTTGGTTGGAAACCACACTCCAAGCGACAGTGTTTCCTTTGGTTTCAATGGAAACCACAAAATCAAGCGACAGTGTTTCCTTTGGTTTCCATTGGACACCACACTTCAAGCGACAGTGTTTCCTTTGGTTGGAAACCACACTCCAAGCGACAGTGTTTCCTTTGGTTTCAACGGAAACCACAATCAAAACGGCAGTGTTTCCTTTGGTTTCAATGGACACCACGATCCAAGCGACAGTTTTGCTACGCCCAAAGACACAGGAGCCCTCAAAACCACGGGCCGCGCCACGACAGGGGAGCTGGGGGACGAGGCGGAAGCGTATACGGACTACCTGGGCTCCGTGGTCCAGGCGAGAAGCACACACAATATTTTTTTTCCGACCCGCGAAATCGATTTTGGCTCGTTTCTTTTGTTTTTTGAATAGAATCCCCTTCAGGGGTTCTTTGATGATTTTGGAGGGGTTCTTTGATATCTTTTGATGGGTTCTTTGATGAATTAGAATAACCGGGGACAGTGGGTTGGTTGAAAGCACTTTTAGTACGTAGAGGGCGTTTTTGAAGTAGTCCAAAGGCAGGCACCCCGTAGTTGGTGGCTTGGTCAACTGACTGACACATGATCTTTGGGACAGGGTTGGGCGCATGCAATTCTCGAAGGGCAAGAGCAACAGAGGGGTGTGTTGTTTTTCAGGGATTTTCCCAAAATGGTGGTTTCCTGGCGGATTCTTGCCTTGGCCTCTACAGCCGATTCTTGTTGGGACCCGTACTCTGCTCTGCGGTCGCAAGGACAGGTGGCTTTATACAAGTTTGACAAGCCGTCCACATATACCTTCAAAGGCACCTGGGTTCATGTTCGATACATTTCTAAAGGTCCAAGAGTGAATTTCTTCCTCCGGCGAATTTGGTTGGGGCCACTTGAGGCTTCGGAGTTAAGCTATCCAGTCGACGATCGACGACTCATTTGTGCTTCGGGACATGTGGCGACGAGCACGTTTCAACCAAAGTAGCCGGGGGACAAGCCACAATTGTCCCTTGTGCTTTAGGGCAGCTTGAGCACATTGTGACTGTGGCTCAATCGGCCTTGTTTTGCGGGAGAACCCACGTGACAATCCATGGGTAGTCGCCCGCGCATTTTTGTGTTAAATGCGCTTGTTTGTTTTTGTTAGTGTGCTTAAACATAGATGACCCTGGTTTAAGTTGTTTTTATTGCATTTACAAGCTGTTCTCCCAAAAAGACGCCTATGTTATCCACCCTTGGTGTACATAGCGGCTTCTGTGCTAGGTTGCGACACAAAATTTTCCGCAGCACTGTTTCCCCACAGGCCAGAACAGGGGAAGCAAGGGACCCGTGTTTTAAGGGAAGGCTTCTCTCTCCCGAACAACATCAACCATTTTGTTTTTTAATCCACCGGGTTCCCATTTAAAAGCAGGTTGTCGAGAACAAGAGGTGTTTTACGCGTGTGTTTTGTCTCCCTAGCGACCCCCACCATGGATAACCCAGAAGTTGGTCCAACAGAGTTCGTTACAGGATTCGTCCAAAAGCTAACTGCCTCTCCAGCAAAAACCCTCCGAATTAGCTTGGAAGAATGGTTGACTTCCCCTGTCTGGCATTGATTTAAAGAAAGAACCCCTTGCGGCGGGGTGTATATTTGTTCAAAGGCGGGGTGTATACGTGTTTTGAGAGAACCATTGAGAAAACCCCGAAGGCGGGGGCTATGTTGTTTTGAGAAAGAAGTGCCATTGTTTCGTGTTGCATGCTTTTTAGCGTCGCGCGGAGTCGCTCTGCATCCGAGAGCGAGAGAGAGAGAGAGAGTTTTGAGAAAAGCACACCCTGTGGGCTTTTTGGGTCTGGTGCAACCCAGGGGGACGTTCCGTTCGAAGCCGTTTGCACCCCTCCGGTCGGTCGATCTGGTCGCCCAGAGCGGCTCGCCGGCCGCGGGCAGTGCCATTGGGGATCTGGCCATCTGCGTCTTCGCCTCGGGGCTGGGGGGGTTGGAGGCCTACGAGGGCACAGGCGCGGCAGGGGTTTCCGCGCGGGGCGTTTTCGGCGCGGTTTTGGTTTTGCGGGGGGGGGGGGGGAAGTTTGGAAGTGCGAGGGAGGAGCTTCTTGTTTTGAGGGGAGGGCTTTGGGGGGAGGAGGAGGAGAGGAGGGGGAGGGGGGGGGGGGCTTTGGAGACTTTGGAGTTGATCGTCGGCGAATTACTTGCCGGTTCTGTAGTTTCTTAGGTTTGTAGGGTTTAGTCGGGGTTTCCATGTAGCCCACTAAAAGTTGACTTGTAGCAAGGGATCTGAGGACAGCCCAGATTAGGCTCGTATGCTTCTAATTATACCAACTATGAAACTTGTGTATTTTTAGATAGATAGATAGATAGATAGATAGATAGATAGATCGATAGACTAGATTAGATTAGATTAGATTAGATTAAATTAGATTAGATTATATAGATAGATCGATAGATAGATAGATAGATAAGACAAAATAGATAGAAACATAGATAGATAAGATAGATACGATAGATAAGATAGATAAGACAGATAAGATAGATAAGATAGATAAGATAGATAAGATAGATAAGATAGATAAGATAGATAAGATAGATAAGATGGATGGATGGATGGATGGATGGATAGATAAATAAATAAATGCTATTTATTGGAGAGCATGGTGTCCAAGTTATTCCAATTATTATCTCTCTGTTGGGCACTTGTGCAAATCCCCTCACATAGAGCCACACTCCAACTGTTTTTCCTTTGCACTTTGCAATCCCCACCACAAACTTCAAAAACAGCAGACAATACTCGCCAATAATTAGAAGGCCGAGTTTCCACTTAGTCCTATGTATTTATGTATGTATTTATCTATCCATCCATCTATCCATCCATCTATCTATCTATCCATCTATCCATCTAATCTATCTATCTATCTATCTATCCATCCATCCATCCATCCATCCATCCATCCATCTATCTATCTATCCATATCTATCTATCTATCTATCTATCTATCTATCTATCTATCTATCTATCTATCTATCTATCTATCTATCTATCTATCTATCTATCTATCTATCTATCTTATCTATCTTATCTATCTTATCTATCTTATCTATCTTACCTATCTTACCTATCTTATCTATCTTATCTATCTTATCTATCTTATCTATCTTATCTATCTTGTCTATCTTGTCTATCTTGTCTATCTTATCTATCTTATCTATCTTATCTATCTATCGATATCTATCTATCTAATCTATCTATCTATCTATCTATCTATCTATCTATCTATCTATCTATCTATCTATCTATCTATCTATCTATGTTTCTATCTATCTATCTATCTATCTCTATCTATCTATCTATCTCTATCTATCTATCTATCTATCTATCTATCTATCTATCTATCTATCTATCTATCTATCTATCTATCGAATCTATCTAATCTATCTATCTATCTATCTATCTTATCCTATCTTATCCTATCTTATCTTATCTTATCTTATCTTATCATATCTTTCTTATCTATCTTATCTATCTTATCTATCTTATCTATATTATCTATCTTATCTATCTTATCTGTCTTATGTATCTTATCTATCTGATCTATCTCAATCTAATCTAATCTAATCTAGTCTAGTCTAATCTAATCTACTAATCTAATCTATCTATCTATTTATGTATTTATCTAGTCTATCTATCTAATCTAACCTAACCTTATACTCTTATCTTATTAAATCTTCTCTAATGTTATCTTATCTCATCAATCTATCTATCTATCTACCTATCTATCTATCTATCTATCTATCTTGCTTACCTTATCCTATCTTACTTTTCTTGTCTTTTCTTATCTATCGAGCTATCTATATATAGATAAACTGTGTTCGAAACAGAAGCACAATATCATACTACTAGAATTGTTAGGACATTGTTATACTAATTAGAAGCACGAGTTTTGGTTTATTGTTGAGGTTGACTTTTGCAGTTGCCCACGCCCAAACAATGGATAATTAAAATATCCATGCCGCTATATGATTAGAAGCTCAGAATCTCAGTTGCCTTGATCATTCTAATGTTTCTAACTGGTCCAATCATTCTGATTATTCTAATCAATCAGCATAATTAGACTAATTAGAATAACTAGAATAGTTAGAATACATTTACTCATTAGGAACCACATGTCGTCCAACATTCCGGAATTAGGAACCTCGCATTCCAAGTCTGTAGGTGTTGTAGTTATTTGGGGTGGTAAGCCCTCCACCAAAAATACAATGATTAGAACCGTTATACAGATTAAGGGTCGCAAGTCTTCAGACTGGATTAGACACCAGCGAATTCCGAGATGCTGCGATAGCTTTCCGAGGGTGGGGTGGTTCTGTAGCCAGCAGCGGATCCTTCATTCGAGATCATGGAACATACGATGTGTGGCTTTAACGCTTTTTATAGATGCAATGAGCAACAAGCCAATTGAACACCAGTATGATAGGTAATGTTTCTAGTTGGAAAGGTTTGTTGTTGTTTGAGCATATATTGATCATGTTATTTTTCCCTTGGCAGTGTAGCATCTTCTTTCATGGGTTGCAAGCCGAGGTGCTTGGGGTGACGGGCTGTTTGCAATTGTGCCCAGATGGGTTAAAATGGGGGACCCCTTTGTTGGATGGTTTATTTTGGGGTCCCCTAAAACAAGACGCACCCAGATTGCGATTAGTTTTTGAACTTGTTGTCGTTGAACCACACGGACTTCTTTGTGACCATGGGGTGGATCCGCGATGCTTGGGTGTTTCCATCCGCTGAACCGGAGTCACATCGAGCCACGCGTACTGTCGTGAGATCAAGCAGCTAGGCGCTGCAGAACAACATACCGTAGTTCACAAGAGTAGTGCACATTGCGCCCTGCAAGACTTGCAACCACTTCACTACCGAGCATGCCGACGATTGTGCCTCCAAGATGGCCTCTCAGGTAATCTGTTCTGATCAGGAGCTCCTCAAACGTCAGTGAAAGTAATTGTAAACGCTTCGCGTTGCCCGCCTCGGCCCAGCCTAGCTTGAGGGAAGGGTCAGGAACACCGAAATCCAGTGTTGGGAAGGTCCGAATCCTACTGAAAGCTTGTGACCGCACCAGTTCGCCCGTGCTAGTTCGATGTTCGGAAGCCGTCCTGCTCGGACAGTCTCGGGCAGCTTGGCTGGTCCTTGCTTGCTTGGGTTGTTGGTTGAGCTGGGCCTGAAGCTAGTTTACGGCGGGCTGGGCAGCCGCACTGAGGGGGCTGGGCTGGGCCTGAGGCCAGTTTCAGACACGTCAGACAGGCCTGGCCAGCAGGCAGACACGCCAGCAGGCGGGCTGAGGGACTGGGCCTGAGGCTAGTCTCAGGCTGCTGGCACACTTTGAGACCAGTCTCAGACTGCGCCGAAGGGGCTGGGCCTGCTGGATGACTGGGGCCAGACGCAAGCAGGAGCTTGGCACGCTGGGCTGAGCCTGCTGGTGGGCGGAGCTGGGGGCCGGCCTAGTGCTGGCGACTACGCTGCTGGTTGCGTCTGGAACTTGGGCTGGGCGGGCTGCGCTGAGCTGTGCTTGGGCGGGTTGCTGGATGGGCAAGGCCTGTTTCATACACACTTGGGCCTGAGGCTGGGTGGCGAGTTGCTGGCTGGGCTGGGCCTGAGGCCAGTCGCAGACACGTCTCAGGTTGGCAGACTTTGAGACCAGTCTCAGACTGCGCGGCCTGAGGCCAGTCTCAGACACGTTAGACAAACCTGACCTTGCCACGCTGGGCTGAGCCTGGTGGCGGGCTGGGAGCTGGGGGCCGGCCTAGTGGCTGGCATGCTCTGAGATGCGCCGGGGCCTGGGCTGGGCAGGCTGGGCTGGGCTTGCTGGTTGGGCTAGGCCTGTTTCAGACAAGCTTGGGCCTGAGGCTGGGTGGGCTGGGCTGACAGGCCTGGCCAGCAGGCGGGTTGCTGGTTGGGCTGGGCCTGAGCCTAGTCTCAGACAGGCCAGCAGGAGGTCATGCTTTTCAGGACTTTTTCGCAATTGTCAGCACATTTTCGACAAAAATGGACCCATGGAGCTGGACGCCGACGAACCCCGAAAATTTCCAGGCCCGCCGGACAGGATTTTTGGGCCAGCCGACATGGGTGGCCGGGCCGGCAAAATTTTGGTCGGGGAGGGGTAAAAGCGAAGATTCTCTTTGGAGAAGAGATCTGAGCGCCCTTGGCCCCTTTGGGGCCGAGGCGAATTTGTGACACATTTGATGCGGCAAAAGCACGCGAAACCTTTCGCATAGGCCACATGGCCTGACACGACTTAAGCCACCTTGTGAAGCCTATCTTAGAGCTGACATAGCCGCGGTGTCACAAATTGGCCTGGGCTGAGTTCACAAGTCGTCTTTCCGAATCGTTGGGATTCGAGATTCAAGCTTTCCGAGGGGCGGATCACGCCGTGTAAGAAAGTTTTAAAAAAACTGTCCGACACGGCGGACCAATGCGCAGACTTCTTCTCGCTCCGCCGTTTCAAACATCTTGGCGGTTCGATCCATGCCCAAGCGGGAGGGGCCCCCTGAAACTGAGTGGAACCGAACTCGGAGACTCGGAGGAAATGGTCAGCTGGGTTGGTTCCACGGGTGCTGTCAACATTATCATGTCTATGGTTCATTTGGGACATGGGGCAGGGTAGAAATCGCAAGAATACAAAAAGCTCGCCAATATTCCCAGGCCATTTTAGGGAAGTTAGGTGTCGCTCACCCTTAAAGGGACCAAAAGGTGCAGTTTTCCCGGCGAGTCCCTTTTTTCCCTTTAGGGGGACATATAGGGAGCCCTGTTCAACCACCGCAGTTTGGGTTCCGTTCAGACTCGGTCGCTCCTATTTGGGTGTAGGCTACGCCCGGCTGCCGCGCGAGCAGCAGGCGGGGCTTTTGAGGAAGCAATCGAGGGGTCCTCGTTGATCATCGGGTTTCTCGAGGCTATGGACCCTCCTTGATATGGGTGTGGCCCTAACAATTGAAGAGCCAGGGCAAACCGCGGGTTTTAGTCTTGGCTTCCATGTACCTTCTGCCATTTTGGTCTCCATCTTTTTGAGCCGCAGCCATATACTTGGAACGGAAAGCGCCTGTGTCGCACCGAACCTTTCGGGGGGCGTGGCAAACAATTGCATGGATCTAGCAGTTGGATTCCTTTGAGCCAATGGGGGTTCCAGGATCACCGCGGTGGGGGTTGGCCCCAAAACGGGCGGCCCAGGGAGAATACCTGATACAATCACTCAAGAAAGAGTTTTTTCCTCCCCATTTCAAAGGCGGAAAACTCTTTCCGGTGCGAAGCTTTCTTCCATTCCAGGGTTCACCATCTTCTTTCCAGTATCCCACCACCAAATCCACAAAGTCCTCCAAATCAGCTAAACATTCGGGTGGTCAAAATGGCTATGCTCCAAATCACCCAGAATTTGGGCGTTTGCTCCTTCAAAGTGGCCAATCTACGCTAGGTCCCCCAGTAGTGCCCTTTTACCTTTTTTTTTTGGGGAGGGTTCCGCTACTAAAATAGACTACAGAAAAAGAGCACCCTTACTCTAACCTCTCTACTGGAGGACCTACAGTGGATGGACAAAATCCTGCACCACCTAAGAAACCCTGGAAGGATTTGATTCTGAAAATAATTACCAACACACAAATGGCTTCCCATGGTTTCAAAGTGGTGCGAAAAAAGTCTCCTGGAATTTGGCGTGGAGTTTTCTCACAACGGCTCCAACCTACACGTCTCGCTCCTTTTTCGTTAGGTGGCGAACCTGGCGCTGCTCTGGCACCGGCCCGGGCACTTCGAGGCCATCGTCGCGCTCCACGGAGGCCGTCGTGGCGCGAACAAACACCTCCCAGGAGCTGGCCTGTAAGGCAAAAAAGCAACCAGAAATGGCCCCATTTTAGCCCATTTTAGTAGGTTTTGCTACTTTGGGTTCCTCCCAAAAAAGGCGAAAGCACCAAGACATGGCCCATTTTTGTAGGTTTTGCTGCCGCCTTTGGGTTCCTCCCAAAAAAGGCGAAAGCACCAAGACATGGCCCATTTTAATAGGTTTTGCGACCTGGCAATATGGAGAGTCTTCTAAAAACCTTAAAGAGAAAGCAACAAATTAGAGGTTTTCCCCAAAGAAGGCGACAGCAACAAGACATGGCCCACTTTGGTGGGCAGAAGTGGAATTTCCAAGCAATTGGGGGGTCCAAAAAGAAGACATGGCCAGTTTTTAGTAGGTCTGTTTTTTTTTTGCCTGGTTTCAGAAATCAACAACAAATCAGGGTCCCCCCCAAAGAAAAGAAAGGAACCGACAGTATGTTCTTGTTGGGAGCCAACGGCTTCCAAGCAACAATTGGGGTTTCCAAAAGACAAACATGCCAATTGGTAGTAGGTTTGCTACCTGGTGTCTTAAGGGTTATGGCAAGTCTTATATTTATGAGTCACAAAGGGTTAGCAAGTAAATGGGTTTCCCAAAAAGTCACTTTCAATCAGCCCTCACAAATGAGCAGCGACCCCAAAAGTGATTCCGGTTGGCCGTTGAGTTGGTTCTGCTAGCTGCTTGAGAAAGGGTTATAGCAAAGTCTGCACAAATATTTGTAACCATGATGGTGGGACCAAGAGTTGTTGGACGCCGCTCAACCGTGCCATGGTCAACACAAAACACTTGCTTCTTGAGGTTGGTATGGATCATCATGAGCTCAGGAGAATGGAATACAGACAACCAATGTAGCGATTTCTACTGAAGGAACCATGCGATTTGTTTGACTATGGCTCTCATGGCTAGGTTTCTTGGCCTCCCTCGAGTTTTTTCAGGTTGCTTCCTCCCATGGATTCTTGATTCCCCAAGTCCCAGAAGGGCCATTTGAGCAGGTGGTTTTAGTGCCTGGGTCTGTCTTGTTTGAGGGTTCCCGGTTTTGGTGGGATTTTAAAGGGAAACTGAAAGGACACCCAACATCTTGCAGGGGTCCCCTAAAAAGCGACACACCCGCTTGGTCTTGTGGTGGTTGTTGTGAGGTCTATTTGGACGTGTATCAAAATTGGGACCGTTTTCTGAAAATGAGATGTCCATTGATTTTTCTTGTAAGACGCCTGAACAAGGGTCAACCAGAACACACACACACACATCTATATATACACCTTTCTAGCCATTTTGGTAGAAGAACCAGTCAATGGATTTTGGGCGCTCCTCAAGTGAGTTTATTTCTGGTGTGGCATTCAACGGCGTGAGAAAGTGCCATGAACACTCGATATCGGTGCGGTTGGCTTCAGGGTTGGCAACCATGTTCTCTCCGCGGGCACCCCTTAAAAAAATGAAATAAAAACCAAAGCCCTGGGCAGCGATGGGTTACCCTGGCAGACGCGCACCCTTCCAAGAATGGAAGGTGTTCCCGTGGATCTATTGGGGAAGTGCAGCCATAATTTTGACATCAAACTCCCTAAACGCAACCCCAAATCCCTCCCACGAAGAATTAGGCATTCGTGCGCTCACCATCTTAAGGCCAAACGCGGATAGTTCTCCGAGGTTACTTGATCCAAGGAATCGTTGCCACTTATTCTGTTGGAAGAACAGTGCCATGCATAATAGATGTGTATACCCCAAATTTATCATGCCGCCTGACGTATAGGCCCCGTTCTCTCTCGGGCATACTTGGCAAGGAGACCTTAGAGAACCTGAACGGAACTTGCGGGACGACTGGATAACCCCTGCTAGTTTGGTGTGACACTGAAGCTTTCTTCCCTTTTGGAAAGTGACGTTCGCGGAAGCTAAGTGGTCAGATACCCCACCCCCTGTAGACCCTATTTGATATCCAGGTTCACTAGATTCCCTACTTAGATGGTGCGCAGGTTAACTCAGTGGTTCGTGCCAATCAGCAAGGAAACCCGCTCTCAGATTCCAAAGGTGTTGCTCGCCATCCCTCCCAGCACCAAATGAGATGCGCGCAACGAGGGAAGGTGGACATCACGCTGAGTGAGCTCATCGCGCTGGCTGAGCAGCAGCCGGGGCTCCCAAAAAACACATCGATTCAAGGCCACTTGAATCGGAAAAGGCGATGTGAGGCGGAGAGCTGTTCCATGCTGTTCCCGCCTGTTGTTGCTTTTGAGTTTTTAGGTGCATACCATACACTTTACACCTTGGTTAAACAAGTCAAACACAGGAAAGCCAAGTCCCCCATTTTGACACAAACCCATCTGAGGCGTTTTTCCCCCCGGGTACCCCCTTTTCGAGCCCCAATCTGTTGTTTGGTTACCCACAAACACCAAGGTAATATGGTGGTCAACAGGGTTGGAGTTTGAAAAGACAAATGGTTCCCCCGCCTCTTTTCTCCCCAACATTCCGACTTCTCGAACATAGACAGACATAGCAGTCACGTCAAATTGCCCCTGACAATTTGACCCTCGCCCGCAACATGTCACAGATTGTGGCTTGCGTGAACCCCGCGAGTGGCTTGTGGGTTTTTAAGCCGCAGGACCTCCAGCCTTTTGTTTGCCGCGCGCCAGATTGGCATGGAACCCCAGAACCCACCATGGTGCCTTCAAGCTGGTTTTCTACCGGCTGAGAGCCCTGGAATCTGCCAACGAAACAAGCTGGAGTTTTCAGGTTCTCGGCCGCTCTGGGCGCTTCGTCCGGACGCCAAAAAAAGCAAAAAAACAAAAGACGCTCGTGTTCCTGCCGGTTCTTGCTTTCCGAGGAATGTGTCATCGGCGGTGATCCGGGCTTGATGGCCTTGTGATCCTTTTGCGGTCTGGAGCATGGAAGGATTTCCAGGTTGGATAGGGCGACCCCTCAGAGCTGGCTAAACGGCTGCGCCGTTTCTTGCCCCTTTCTTCAGCGGCTTTGGCTTAATCGGAGCCCGATTCTTGGTCTCGCCGCGCGAGACCAAGAGTCCACCAGCCAGGGCGGAGTTTCGACCGTGGCTCTTTCTTAGCTTGTCCGGATGCCCAAAAAAAAACACGGTTGAACTAGGCAAAAAAACCACGCCACGCGCAACTTTAGGTTTCTAGGTCCGCTGTTCACACCTCTTTTCTCTATATTTTGGACATCCCTCGATATTTGAAGCGTGGGCACGGGGCAGGGGGTCACCAGTGAATTTCAGGTCCGCTTTTTGGGCCAAGCCCATGTCCTTTTGTATTGGACCTCCGAAAGAGGCGTTTGTGTGGTTGGAACCCTTGAGCCGATTATCAAATGAGACCTTTTGGTTAGACATCCAGTGGCTCCGGTTGACCGTTCCACCCCTGAGCTCCACTCGGACGCGAACCATCGCAAATGCCTCGGCAGAAGCCGAGAGCGAACCACAGCGCCCAACTCACTGCGCTCCACTCAAGTGGAAAAAGCGAGCCACGGTCACTTTTTGCCATGTACTGTAGTTAAGGGGATGACAATGCTGTGGTGCATTTTGCCAAGGGATGTTAGGACTTTAATGGGTTTTCCATTAAACCACTGAAAGTTGAACTTTTAGCAGGGGAGCAGAAAGCAACCGAGATTGGGTACACTCACCAAATTGACATTCGGAAATGAGGGTTGCCCACCGAATTCCCATGTCGATGGGCAATGCCATGACCATGTCATGTGCACAAGGCCAAACGCCCGCCAGGATTCCTAGGATTCCTGTCTTGGGTTCATGTTGCTTTGGGTAGAGTGCATGGTAGCTGTTTTTTGGGGGTGAGACCGACCCAGGTGGCTGCGGCCACATGTTTGATTCATCTCTTATGCTGGATGCCCGCGGCCCTTTGCGTGGCCGTGAAACCTTTTTGCCAAACACTTGGCCAATCGATGGCAATCTTACCAGGAGATACCAGGGGTTTTCGGACGGCAAAGGAAGGGCTCATGGATTCTTCGCTGAATGGCGTGGGACGTAAACTATGCTTTTGTAGTCTTGAGATCAGGATTGTTCGTGATTCGCGCATAAGCCTTGCGGCCGGGTTTGACAGAGCGATTTAGATGATACGTCTGAGCGAGCCAACGCGCCCGTCCGATGCCAAGCTGATGGGTTTAGACACACCCGCCCAATACCTGCACACTCAGTGCAAGAGGTTGTTACGCACATTCGCAGTGTCACGGTTTTGTCAGCTGTGCCCCGGACGCTGTCAAAGCCAGGCCAGACACAGCTGTAAGGTGGGTCGAACCCGACTCGTAGACAAAACACACAACAAATGGTGCAGGCAAGAAGAGGCCCGGCAAGTTTCAAAATTCTCCACAAAATGTGCTTAGTTAGTAAGCCTGCAAGAAGATCACATGTGGGGAGTTTCCATTCGGTCAATCCGACACATTGACCTGACCTCGCAAAATGACAGCATTTCGCACAAGCTTCACACAAAGAGTCCTGAACCCAAAGAAACAACTTTACAACTATTCGGCAGCAGCTGTTCTACTCTCAGCTCAGGGCCGTTGAGCCGCTGGTTGCACCCGTCTCCGCCATGGGTGTCTTGCGCTTTGTGGAGGGTTTGGATCTGCTAGGCAGGGCTAGCTCATGGCTTGCTTCCATGCGAAATGGCCCACATAGGGTACCGTTTTCTTGGCGGTCCCGAGCCGGCCCCTTAGCTTCTTAGGATTTTAGGGTTTGGTGGTAGATTCCATTTGACCCACTAACAGTTGAACTTGTAGTAGGGGATCTGAGGACAGCCCAGTGTCCCCCACCCACCAGTTGGGTGGGCCTTGAGAAACGGGGTACCATGTGAGACCAAAGCAAATCTGCGGCTGAGTGAGGCACGGTCGCGGGGATGGCGATCCGTCTAGCCTCTCGAAATCCTGGCCCAGAAACCACCTGGCTAGCCATGTTGCGATCGCTTTTGTCAGTCACTGTTGCGATCATCGGTTTTTGGGGTAAAGTGGATGGACAAAAAGCGATCGCAACTGGCGAACCAGGCCGGAAATTCTCCATCCCGGGTGTTATCAACCCCAGTTTATGAACAAGCTGGTGTCCCTGGGTTTTGTGGGGAATCAGACCACTTTTGGAGGGCCAAAACCACCCCCTCTTACACGGGGTTTGATAAATATGGTGAATTGGGAGATTTATTCTTACCAGGGAAAAGGTCTGAGAGCACCGCAACTTCAGCAAAGGAATTCAGATAGGCAGGGACACAGCGCGCAACGGTAGCTTGCTGCAACTGCTCTGCATTCGGCATTCGGGTCGTTGCTTCTATCAGATTGTTCCATTGTTGCGGCTCAGCACCCCTTGCAGGTAACGAAATTCATGTTGGGAGTCCGTAGACATATCTTGACACATGCCTCGATGAAGCGAGCACCGGCCCTTTTTGCGGCAAGACTCGTCTCAGGCGCTCGGCGGCACAGCGCCACTGCCTTGCTAGGCTTTGGGGAATCGGTTGGGCAAGTTACGTGGCATGCTCAGCTCTCCTCTTCCTTCTCGTCCCATTACTCCTCTTCCTCCTCCTCTGCATATGGGGTCCTATGATCCTTGAATCTATGATCCCGGCAAGCGCCATGAACGACGCACCTCACATCCCACAGCAGCTCTCACATATCTGGGTGCTGCCTTCGAATTCCCTCTTGAAGAAAGAAACACCAGATAGTGGATGGATCATCTTCAATCTTGCAAGCCTCCCTTTATATTCCCCAAACATCAGGTGTTTTTTCTTCCTTTTTTGAGTTTTCTTTAAAGCCAACAAACAAACCATATTTTTGTTTGGAGTTTTCTTTTCCCACGGGGGGTCTGGCACAGGGAGACATGAGAACCAACCATGTGAAACACATCCATATCCCTATTAGACACACCCCTATTTAGACACCCCTTAACGGCCCCTGACTGGGTTGTTCAACGGGTCTGGGGATAGAACCACACGTTTTTCCACTCGAAGGAGCGTCTTTTTATCCCGTGAGATCGCCATATTTTTGTTTGGAGTCCTTTTTTCTCACGGGGGGTCTGGCAGCCCTACATGAGATCCATCCATATCCCTATTAGACACACCCATATTTTGACACGCCCACGTCCCCTTTTGGCCCCTGACTGGGTTGTTCAACACGGGGTCTGGGGATAGAACCACTCGTTTTCACTCTGGAGCGTCTTTATCCCTTGAGATCGCCAGGTCAGGAGGCTTCGGCGGCTTTTGTGCGGCCTCGCAGACAGCTGGGGTCCTTTCTGAAGATCCCCACCAGCTTCGAGGAGGATGAGGCGGATCGGTCCATGTCCGGCTTGGTCCATGGCCAATGGATTTCAAGATGTGGAACCAACGAAGTCAAGTGATTGGTGCAGGGCTCCTTAAAAGATCGATACATTTTGAAAAAAAACATGAAACATGTTGCTTTTTCCACCCAAATACAGGGGAACCACTATTCTACAAGGCAATGTGCAGGTGTAGAATGTAAGGATCCCTGTTGGTGGTTAGATGAATCCCCACCGAATTCTGATGTCCACCGAAGGGTCCCTAGCTAAAACTTATGCTCATATTTGTAAGGGTCAAGCTTGGTACCCCCTGAGGAGGTATTGTTGCTCGCTTTATTTTCCCTTGGGGACGCCACTTGCGTGGATTTTTGAGTGTGCTGGTTTTCGGATTGGTCAAGCGGGAAACGAAGGAAGCCACCTATCTCAAGTTGTTTGTTGTGACGCAACCCCCATTTCTGGGGTGATTCCAAGAAGAATCCAAAACAACTCAGACGCATTTTAGGGTTCCACTTATCCTTCTTTGAGGAGCACCATTGCCTTCTCCAGTGGACTTGCATGAGAAATCCACTCAGGAAGTGAGATTGGGGCTACAGAAAAGGAGCCCCCCTCTGTGACACAACGGCCCGGTATTTTAGGGCTCCAGATTTCTGGGAGAACCCTTGAAGAAGTTGGCTGAGAAGCACCCCACGTCCCAGGAGTTGCTAGTCACCTCCAGTCACTGGGGTGGGACGCGCCATCGGCTGGGCTTAAATACGAGCCATCGGCTGGTTTTCGGGGACGGATCTCAGAGCAGGAGTTGGCCATCTATGTTACCACAAGACAACCCATCGCGTCTGAGAGCAAATGGTTGAGGTTACATGCACGAGCCGTTCTGCAGGAAGTTCGCGCCAATCGCCACATACCGGGGGGGTCGGGCTAGAATTTTCCGGTTTCTTAGACGCGCAGCGCCGTTCATTGGGATGTAGACCCCCAAAATCACAGACTCCGCCTTTATCTAACTCATGTTGGCCGGCGACATCATGTTGACCCAGACAATAATTGTTGTATGAGAAGGGGCTTGTGGGGAAGAGCTCTGACAACGATCCTGCAGTGGATGGAAGCCACTTTCCATGAGTTGTTTCGTTCACCCCAATTGGTGCCTGGATTTTGCCAATGCACCTATCACCAGCGCGTAGGGACCCTTTGAAACTAGGTAACGCGTGAAGCACATGAAACATCCACTCTCACACAAGAAACAAACATAGGGAAAGCAAAAGGACAAACATAGGGGAACAAAACCATATAGGGAAGCCAGGAGGAGGGCACCCCCCCAAAAAACGAAACAAGGGGGAGCTAGAAGGAAGTGAAGCAGTATGAGCCATCAGGATGACATCGCCGCCTCTGCGGACACTGACGAGTTGCCCAAGCCCCCCGACAGCCCGCCGGGGGCCCGAGCGGGGTGCCGACGGCGAGGTGTCCACATGTTCTTTCCTGGGTATTTTGGCGTTAGGGATACCAAAGAACGGATTTAAGGTGTGGTTTTTTGAACATGGGTTTTGACATATTTCCCGTGGTTGCTTCTAGACCCCAAAGGAGGCTGCACTATTTCCCTTGATTGGCCTGCAGGGTTCGGGGACTTCTCAAGGCTTCCTGATGAGGAAAGAGGACATGGGGGCACTCACTGATCCAGGGGGCCTGTTTCCCCTGTTTTGCTATGACTTTTGCTTTCGTATTCAGCCGTTTTCTCGGCTGGGCAAGTAAGTCCATGAGTCTTGGGGCACCCATACCTAACGCCAAACCCGAGGCAGTGTCATTTTCAATAGCTACAAGCACTGCAAATCAAGAAGCTCGGGGAAGCAATGGCAACTTTCCCGCAACCTGCAACAGTGCTGACACATGTCTGAAGGGGGAGAGGGAGAGAGGGTTGTGCATTGCCAATTGAAGACAGAGGTCGCAGGATGTTGGTTTGGAGTTTCGGTGCAGGGTTCAATGACGCGTCGCTCCCGGAAGGTGGTACAATGAGACCATGCCCCTTTTCCCTTGTGGCTGCCTGCAGAATGGGTGTGGCTCAAGAATCGGGACCCCAAACTCAATCCTGGTAAATGAACAAGTAGACCCAAACCTGCGGACCCCGGGCTCTTAGTTTTTGAGCCACACCCAAGTATTTGTATACACCCATGTGTTACATGTACATGTACCTGGGGTCTCCTCCAGAACAACGATTCGGTTTTCAGACTGAAGTACGAAACAGAAAATGACACGCATGTTATGAGGAGTACCCCCGTGTTTGCGGGTCTATTTATGGGTTTAGTCGGGGGCTACACCACGTCTCCGGTTGAGGCTGAACAACCTGGCGAAGTTCAGGGCCAAGCACGCCCCACTCCCGGATTTTGAGCAGACGGGTTTGTGGCGTTTTGAGGCTGACTCGGTACCCTTTTTCGGTTGGTTGAAAGGGACATCCGAAGGACAGCCCAAGTCCATTTTTTGGGTTCTGGCCCATACACTCAGGGCCGATTTGGACCATTCCCGGGGTTCTTTGAAGCTGGGGGTCATTTGCTGAAGCCTTCATGTGGTGTGACTTTGGGTAAAAAAAGAGGCAACAACAAGAGCCCGACCTCTAGTGGCCTTCCTTTTTTGCGTGTATTCCCCTCCAACATCTGGTTGGGTGAGACGATTTCAACGCTTTCTGGGGTGAAACGAGGTGTTTATGTGTCGGATGTGGTGATAGTTGGAACCAGCACCATGCCAAGCTTAATAAACCCCTGTATATTAATATGGGGGTGTCCCCGGTTTTAGTGGGGATTCATGACTTTTGGAGGGGAACACCCCCATATTAATAAACAGGGGTTTATTAATCCGGGGTCAACATTATAAGGTTCGTAGTGAGCCCAATCAAACCCGGGTAAGAGGAGTTTAGCAAGCGACGGCCCCAGCCAGAAATAGGTGTGGCATTGCGGCCTCTGGATTTTTGTGTTGGGTAGACGGCTAGGTTTTGATTGTGACTCACTTCCTCTTAGTTTGCCAAATGGAAAATCCACCCGTTGAGGTGAAATATACGGAAGGCCAGGGGCTGCTGAGGTTGGGGTCATGTCGACTACTCAACGTGTAAAACATGTTCGTCGTTATAGGCATATTGTGGTGATTCGAACTATCCACTAGGATTATTACGATCTTGCGGTTCGTCGCCTCTTTGTTTTCTTTGTGTCTGTTGGCTCGGTCGGTCTTTTGGGAGCTTGCACCAAAGATATTCATATTGCTTTCCGCTAGCGCAAGACCAGGGAAGTTATGCATTCTCGTTTTCCACCCCACCGGGATGCCAGCAAGCTTGGCGCTCATCGTTTCCGGAAACTAGGGGGACACCCGGATGAGTTTCAGAGGGAAAGCAGCAGGTACTTTGGTGCATTTTTCTGGAAAACTCGAATTTCCGGGACCCCGGAATGCTTGCAGTGGCAGCTGGGCTTCGGTCTCCTAGCAACCATTTCCAAGTCCGTCCGAATTTGCGCGAGCAATTTGTGTGATTAAGGGAATAGCATGAATGATAAACAAGAGTCACCTAGCTAGGTCCCCCACTAGTGCCCTTTTGCCCTTTGTTGGGGGAGGTTCCCCTACTAAAATAGACTACAGGAAAAAGGGCACCCTTATTCTAACCTCTCTACTGTTAGCTAGGCAATGACATAATGTACCTGGCACCTCAAGCAATTCAAAGATGACCAGGGCGCAGTTGAGTTGGCTTTCGGCCCTTGTGATATCCGAGGAACGAACGCAAGACGGCTTTCTTTGCGCCGCAGCCGGCGTCAAAGACGAGCAGGCCGTGAGACGCGAGCAGATGTCTTTGCAATGGGTTATTGAAGACATCATGCCAAGAAATTTCGGCATGATTGCGATTTCCCCTTCCCAGATAGGCTGGGGTTCCGGAAGGATTCCAGGGTTGCAAGGATGCCACTTGGGCGCTTTCAGCATGCATTCCTTGGCTGTCCCTATCCAATTTGCTCGCATCGACTCCCAACGTTGCGTCGACTCCCGTTCGGCCACAGAATTGGAGGCCGCAACCCAGGCCTCTCAGGGCTCCAAAAGCTTTTCCGTCGCTGGCAAAACGTGGCATGGGGATACTTCGTGGCTTGGCTCTCCATCCCATGGGTCCTGGTTTCTCCACTGCCTTCCCGGGATGGGTTGGGACGCGATCCGCATTTTACCGGCGACCCTTTCAGCGATAGGAAGCCGCGATGACCGAACGCCAATCATGTCCGAGGCGCTTTCAGAGGTGTTTTCTGAGTCCATAGAGTCAGCATTGTGCATCAGCTTATGCACCGCTTGTATGTATGTATGTATGTATGTATGTGTGTGTGTATATATATATATTTCCGCGTTTCTGTCAAACACAATAGCAATATTCAGAAGGCCATGCACCACGTTCATGCACTAGGTCATGCACAATTTTCATTTTGTTTGTAATGTTACCCTCTTGCCAACACTCATGGAAGTAGACAAGGAGCCTTTCTCACGAGCATGCTACTTTTTCCACACATTTTCCTGCCCACTTCCATGTTTGGAAGGAGGGTATTGTGCGGTTCGATATTTTCATCACCGGCTGGTTGGAAGGGAGCCCTTCCCGGGGATCCGAACTTGAAGAGTTAGGGAGCCTTTCAGAGGCTGCCAGTAGTGTAGATACCCTCCTGGTCCAGGAACCTGGACACCGGAGGGTCCAGTTGATATGAACGGTCGTCCGACCTGGGACCCGGAAACGTGAGGTTCCATGGCAACGTGGATGGTCTAGGTCCCCCAGTAGTGCCCTATTACCAACTTTTTTGGGGAGGGTGCCCCTACTTAAATAGACTACAAAAAAAAATAATAAAAAAAATCGGGCACCCTAAAATAGAAAGAAAAAAGGTGGTACCCTTATTCCTACAGAAAAATGCTACTCAAATCTGGAGGACCTAGAAATAGTTTTCCCGTGGTTGCTTCTAGACCAAAACAGCAAAAAGTTGGTCCCCCTATTCTAACCTCTCAAATCCGGAGGAGCTAGTGGTGATATCGGGCAATGTGATGGATTGTGGAGGGAGTGAAATCAACTTTCGGGAAAAAGCAGGTCCCCTATTCTGACCTCTCAAATCTGGAGGAGCTAGTGGTGATATCAGGCAATGTGATGGATTGTGGAGGGAGTGAAATCAACTTTCGGGAAAAAGCAGGTCCTTTATTCTGACCTCTCAAATCCGGAGGAGCTAGTGGTGATATCGGGCAATGTGATGGATTGTGGAGGGAGTGAAATCAACTTTCGGGAAAAAGCAGGTCCCCTATTCTGACCTCTCAAATCTGGAGGAGCTAGTGGTGATATCAGGCAATGTGATGGATTGTGGAGGGAGTGAAATCAACTTTCGGGAGAAGTTGGTGCCCCTATTCTGACCTCTCAAATCCGGAGGAGCTAGTGGTGATATCGGGCAATGTGATGGATTGTGGAGGGAGTGAAATCAACTTTCGGGAAAAAGCAGGTCCCCTATTCTGACCTCTCAAATCTGGAGGAGCTAGTGGTGATATCGGGCAATGTGATGGATTGTGGAGGGAGTGAAATCAACTTTCGGGAAAAAGCAGGTCCCCTATTCTGACCTCTCAAATCCGGAGGAGCTAGTGGGGATATCGGGCAATGTGATGGATTGTGGAGGGAGTGAAATCAACTTTCGGGAAAAAGCAGGTCCCCTATTCTAACCTCTCAAATCCGGAGGAGCTAGTGGTGATATCGGGCAATGTGATGGATTGTGGAGGGAGTGAAATCAACTTTCGGGAAAAAGCAGGTCCCCTATTCTAACCTCTCAAATCCGGAGGAGCTAGTGGTGATATCGGGCAATGTGATGGATTGTGGAGGGAGTGAAATCAACTTCCGGAAAAAGCAGGTCCCCTATTCTAACCTCTCAAATCCGGAGGAGCTAGTGGTGATATCGGGCAATGTGATGGATTGTGGAGGGAGTGAAATCAACTTTCGGGAAAAAGCAGGTCCCCTATTCTAACCTCTCAAATCCGGAGGAGCTAGTGGTGATATCGGGCAATGTGATGGATTGTGGAGGGAGTGAAATCAACTTTCGGGAGAAGTTGGTGCCCTTATTCTAACCTCTCAAATCTGGAGGAGCTAGTGGTGATATCGGGCAATGTGATGGATTGTGGAGGGAGTGAAATCAACTTCCGGAAAAAGCAGGTCCCCTATTCTAACCTCTCAAATCCGGAGGAGCTAGTGGTGATATCGGGCAATGTGATGGATTGTGGAGGGAGTGAAATCAACTTTCGGGAAAAAGCAGGTCCCCTATTCTAACCTCTCAAATCCGGAGGAGCTAGTGGTGATATCGGGCAATGTGATGGATTGTGGAGGGAGTGAAATCAACTTTCGGGAAAAGTTGGTGCCCTTATTCAAACCTCTCAAATCTGGAGGACCTAGAAATGGTACCCAAAATGGCCCCTTGGTAAATGGAAACAAAGACCAACAAGTTGGTGCCCTTATTCTAACCTCTCAAATCTGGAGGACCTAGAAATGGTACCCAAAATGGCCCCTTGGTAAATGGAAACAAAGACCAAAAAGTTGGTGCCCTTATTCTAACCTCTCAAATCTGGAGGACCTAGAAATGGTACCCAAAATGGCCCCTTGGTAAATGGAAACAAAGACAAAAAGTTGGTGCCCTTATTCTAACCTCTCAAATCTGGAGGACCTAGAAATGGTACCCAAAATGGCCCCTTGGTAAATGGAAACAAAGACCAAAAAGTTGGTGCCCTTATTCTAACCTCTCAAATCTGGAGGACCTAGAAATGGTACCCAAAATGGCCCCTTGGTAAATGGAAACAAAGACCAAAAAGTTGGTGCCCTTATTCTAACCTCTCAAATCTGGAGGACCTAGAAATGGTACCCAAAATGGCCCCTTGGTAAATGGAAACAAAGACCAAAAAGTTGGTGCCCTTATTCTAACCTCTCAAATCTGGAGGACCTAGAAATGGTACCCAAAATGGCCCCTTGGTAAATGGAAACAAAGACCAAAAAGTTGGTGCCCTTATTCTAACCTCTCAAATCTGGAGGACCTAGAAATGGTACCCAAAATGGCCCCTTGGTAAATGGAAACAAAGACCAAAAAGTTGGTGCCCTTATTCTAACCTCTCAAATCTGGAGGACCTAGAAATGGTACCCAAAATGGCCCCTTGGTAAATGGAAACAAAGACCAAAAAGTTGGTGCCCTTATTCTAACCTCTCAAATCTGGAGGACCTAGAAATGGTACCCAAAATGGCCCCTTGGTAAATGGAAACAAAGACCAAAAAGTTGGTGCCCTTATTCTAACCTCTCAAATCTGGAGGACCTAGAAATGGTACCCAAAATGGCCCCTTGGTAAATGGAAACAAAGACCAAAAAGTTGGTGCCCTTATTCTAACCTCTCAAATCTGGAGGACCTAGAAATGGTACCCAAAATGGCCCCTTGGTAAATGGAAACAAAGACCAAAAAGTTGGTGCCCTTATTCTAACCTCTCAAATCTGGAGGACCTAGAAATGGTACCCAAAATGGCCCCTTGGTAAATGGAAACAAAGACAAAAAGTTGGTGCCCTTATTCTAACCTCTCAAATCTGGAGGACCTAGAAATGGTACCCAAAATGGCCCCTTGGTAAATGGAAACAAAGACAAAAAGTTGGTGCCCCAACCAGGCCTTCACGGGCTGCACCAACCTGCCAGCGCCGGATGGCACCAACATCGGCAGGACGGACGGGTTGGGATGCGGGAACGGAAACCTCGGTCCCCCAGCAATTGGTGCCCGACCTCTCACCCGTTTCTTTTTTGGTTGGGAGGGTTCGGGACCCTACTAAAATAGACGTCCTGAAAAAAGTGGGTAGCCTTATTCGAAGCTCTCAAATCTGGAGGACCTAGAAACACTGGGTGGACGCTAAGGGCAAGAAACCTGCCTGGATCGCCAATTGCGATCGCTTTTTTCCGTCCACTTTCCCCCAAGAACCCAGCAACAGGGCTGGACAAAACAGCAACTTGGCTAGCTAGGTGGCAAACGTCGGGCCCGAGGGAATCCACGGCGCCACGCTGCACCAAAGAAGCTGCTCCCAAGCACCCCGAACGAGCCTATTCGGGCCTAGAGACCCCGTGCTTCCTGGAAATGGCTCAAGACCCAACATGCTTGGTGTCCTGTTGGTTTCTTTTTAAAGCAAACTCAAAAATGGTCGCAACTCAAAAAGCGACACAAAAGCTTGCTTCTCTCCCGACAGTCGAGGCATGTCGCGGCAGGAAGTGGTGCTACATCGAGCCCGCGCAGGTGGAGACCGCAGGCGAGGGCACGGACGAAGGGTCTTTTTCCCAACCTCTTTTTGGGGGTTGGGTTCATCTAAGAACCCAGGTGCAAGCCCTTCTACAAATCAGCCAAGATGTTTCAATATTTTTTGTTTTGTTTTGCAACTGTCAAAAGTGGCAGTTATAATAGAAACCACAAGTCAATTGCAATTTTTGATGGGGAAATCCAGTATTTGGTTGGTCTTCATGGAGCCAATTTTCTTGGGTATCACCTTGGCCAATCTAAAGTGAGTGTCCTTCTGGTGATGTTACAAGAGACATTTCTGGCACCCAGGGATTTGCCGATCCACGCGGGGAGGAAAGGGGAGGGGAGTGAGTGCGTGGTTGTGTTACCTTGTTTGCTTTTGTGTAGTTTGCTTTGTGTTGTGTTGTTGTTCCTCTGTTTCTAGTTTGATTTAGTTTGTTGGTTTGGTTTAATTTAGTTTTGTTGTGTTTGGTTTGGTTTGGTCTGTCTTTTTTTTGTCTGTTTGTTTGTCTGTATGTTTGTTTGTTTGTTTGTTTGTTTGTTTGTTTGTTTGTTTGGTTGTTTTGCTTTGCTCTGCTCTGTTCTGCTCTGTTTTGTTTTGCATCTTCGGTTTGTTACCGCACTCTTACACAAATTCCAGTGGTTGCAGGGATGGCCGCCCATGTTTTATTTGGCCCTGCGTTGCTTTGAATTTCGTTGCATTGAAGTGCATTAGTGTTTTTGTTTGTCTCTTTGTTTGCTTCCCTGCTTGTTCGTTCTCAAGCTCTTATGTGGGTCTAGGGATGGTCTCCCATGTGAGAGGGGAGAGAAAGAAGGCCGGTTGCTGCTTGATTGCTTGTTCTGCTTGGCAGGCATTTGTTTACCTCGGTGACAGCTGTCATCGCGGAAACAAACATACAGCAACAAGGGCATTGAAAGAATGCGTTTCTTTGAGGCCACCCTTTTTCACCTCGTTAAAAATTGGCAAGCAACAAGGAACAGCACCGTGTTTCAGGTCCGAAACAAATTCAATACATACTACGGTATATGAAAGGAAACCACGGGGGGGTCTCATTTAGGTTTCCATGTTTATCCCATACCCAGGTTTGTCGCTTAATGAGGGACCGCCCGCCAAACCACGTGGCGTGTTTGTTCTCATTTGCTATCCCCTTACAACTCCATTGCATGAGGTTTCCTCGAACCAACCCGCATGGGGTTTGGTTCTCCTTAAAACCATTTCGGTCTTTTTCCTTTTGGCTTTCTTGGCTTTCCATCTGGAAACAAGTGGTCCCCTGTTTCATTTGGCTCTCTCCACTTGGTTTGCCGCTTGGGTCTTCCACGTTTCCCTCGCTCCACGTCTCCCGGGCGAAAAATTATTTCAGGGAAGACCTGGGGCTGGTGCCGCGCCGGACCCCCAGGCGATAGGTGCCCGACCTCTCACCCGTTTCCTTTTTGGGCGGGGAGGGGTTTTGCGACTAAAATGGGACTGCGGAAAACAAGCTGGGTGCCCTTATTCTAAGCTCTCTACTGGACCTGGGCAGAGGGTGGCTCGCCTTGCGGAGTTGGTAAACCCTTCTGTGGTTTTAAGGGGAAACCAAGAAGAACACCGCCATTTCGCGGGTCGGGTGTGTGTTTCTTTGGACCCCAAATCGGATTTGGGTCTTCCCGCTTGATTTCAGTTCAAAGCCAAGAGAAAGGGGCATCAACTCTATCATTTGGTAAAAGACGCGCCAGCCTTACACATTTCCCTTAGGCCGGTTAGACATGAAATTCGGATGAGCCAAGCCCTATGGGCTTCCAGCGAAATGGGTTTGATGTGGCATAGGCATTCGGAGCCCTTAAACAGACCCCACTAGTACCCTCAAACCACCACCCGCGCAAACAGAAAATCCTGGTCCCCGTGAAGGGAAAGCCAAACAGAGGTTGTTTAAACAAGGGGTCCTGGTCGAAACGCCACTGGAAGTGCTTGTGTTTCATGTTGGCTTCCCTGTTTGAAGCTCCTGTTTACTCTGAATTCTTTATCAATCGTCCACCATTAGGCGGGTGTTGCAGGTGGTATGCCAATGCAGGAGCATTTGGCCAGTTCTTTGTCATGGAATCAGGGTAGGAAACAATCGCGAAGCTTATCCGGATCCAATTCACAGTAGTCCACTAGGCGGCACGGGCGCAAGGCCGGATTCTTCAGCATAAATTCCAGCAACGGTCGGCTCTTAGGGACCCTGAAATTCTAATTGAGCCAATCAAAACTCGGGTAGATGAAGGGTAAGAGACAGTCGCAGCCACAACTAGGTGCGGACTGGCACGCTTAATTGTAAACGTTGCGCATGGCTGGGCGAGCCGAAGTGATTGCCAGGAACTTGAACTCGAGTGGCAGGGGCCGGCCAACGAGGTGGACGCACAGGACTTAGGGTGGTCTGGGCTTTCTGGGGGGGGGGGAGGTGCCTACAACAAGCAAAGCTGCTGCTTGGCTGGAGCACGCCCGGCGGCGACTGCCGCGTAGTCAGAACAACTGCGACAAGAGTTTCCCACTCCTTCCAGCGGGGGTGCAAGCAATTGTTAGCGCCCTACCTCTGCAATCTTGCGCAAGACAAAGTAGCGGGCTCCGGGTCAAGCAGGGAGTCCCCAAACATCTGCACCAGAAAGTCTCCCACAGCGCAGACACACAGGCCGCAAAACAAGCGCACGCTCTCTCTCTCTCTCTCTCTCTCCCCACAAGGGACGGAAACCACACCCGCGCAAGGCTCTGTGGCGGGCGCCAAAAAACACCGGCAGAACAAAGTGTCTCCTCAGGACGGCTTTTGCAAGGCAGACTCGAGCTGTCGCAAATCACGGGCTGCAAGCGGATGTGCTGCAACACACAAAACTGTACTGAGTACGACACCAGCGCAATAAACAAACAGCACGGGCCCTAACCGAGCGCATTAGTCTGGTTGAGGCAGCCCAGCCTACTACGAATGGAACGAACAGCTTTGGTGGCAGCTCGACGCTGTCGTTGCCAACCCTATAGTGCCAGCGTGAAGGATCCTTCCAACAACAGCCCCGCCTGAACCGAGGACACACAGACAACATGCCCGCCATAACCAATGTCATCTAGAACGTGAAGGGTCAGGTCGTTGAGCGGTGTTAATGACCGTAGCGGTTTTGGCTTTCCAATGACAAGAGTACAGTTGGCGACGCGGACAGGCCGCTTGCCACACGCGAATCGGCAGCGCAAGTAGTCTTGCGTCGGAGCCAACAGGGGCCGCGTGGCTACCGCGCAGGACTTTGCGAGCAACTTGCAACAGGGTGGCGCCTCTGTGGCGGGATGTGGCAGCGAGCAACCGCTACCAGCCAGAGAGGCAGGAGCTTCAGCAAGGCCGGCCCAGAAGCACGAGTGTTCGTCCACAACAAAGAGCCAGCCTGAGCAAGAGTTCTTACATCACGAACCTGCTGAGTGCCCGGGTGACTTGCCCTGGTTTGGCTTAGCTGCCAACAAATCGGGCCCATGGCGACACAGAACATGAAAGCTGAAAAGGTCCGGCCTTGTCACCTCGAGACGCCGTTCCTGAACTTTGTAAGAGTGCTGTTGTGGAAGAGGTCGGCAGAAGTACCCGGAGTGGGGCACCTCTGACATGCAGAACTTTGAGTGCCTAGTCCGGACCAAAAGCCTTGGATAGATCGCCAGCAGAACAACACTAGCTTTATTACCTTCAAGCGCAGGCTACGTTGAGTCTGGGGGTTGAGGCTGGAAGATCATGCCTGGGTGCGGCGTGCTGGGATTGGGACTTGGCTGCTGGGCTACAAACGTTCATGCCGGGCTCAGCCGCATTGTGGCTGTGAGACTTGGGGCTGGAAGCCGGAGGCTTGGGGGCCCATTGGGGGCTAGGGCACTTTTGGTACCAGTTTTGGATGATGATCCATAGGACCACAAGCCTACAGATCGATCAAATGGGCGTTTCTGAAAATTTCAGGGGGAATGCAAACAAACCCAGGCGCCCGAAAGAGCAACACCCATAGTAAGATAGGGGAACTTTGAGCTTCCAGTCGGTTTGCCCTTGAATTGGGTAAGGGTCAAAACAAACCCACCAGGGGACCGCAGGTTTCAGTTTTTGGTTCCATTATCAGGGTTTCATTTTGGGTCCTCATCTTCGATCCACAGCCAATTCAACGCCAAGAAGGGCACCCCCTCACAAAACGACACACACCCAAATGTGCCTGGAGAGGTTTCCACCTTCGCTCAAAACCGAAGCTCGAGCGAGGCTTTCACGGGCTGGCCGGACGTCTTCGAGGGTGTGGAGTTGCCAGCGTAGAGCATGTGGTCGCGAAAAGCATGGGGCGTTGGCTTGAGTGTTCGTGGGGGCGTGTCTCAAGGAAGAGCACTTTCTCCTTTAAGCGTTGAGCCTCAAGCATTTGTCTGGGCGGCTTGCTTGGGAGTTCGTTGCCAAGTTTTTCTGTGGGTCATAGACTGATTTACAGAATCTGCCGCTCAACAAGAGGCCCCCTAAGTAGTCTCCGTATTGCGCGCATGGCTCAAGTGCAGCTGTTTTGTTGAGAGAGGAGCACACAGAAACCGACCCAGCGATCCAAACAGACCAGACGGGTTCCAGGTTCGCCACACAAGTCACGGCTCTCGCATTTGTTTTTTTCTCACCTCATGAGGCAACGGAGCTGACCCACCCAGCAGCTGGGTCTGGTTGAGATCTCTTGGACATTTGGGTGAGCATTCCTTGATCCCAGGCGCGCATGGTGCGTTCGGGGGTTCGGGCTTCGGGGTTGGCTTTTGTATACGAGAAAGTTGCTCGAAGGATCGAATCCAGGGACCGGTCATCCCAAAAGGGCTCCCCAAAAATTGTGAACAGTTTCCTCTGGGAGAGGCCGCGTGCCAACGAAGTTTTTGCTCGGATCCGCCAGCCCTTCTGCGGTCGGATTTGTTTGGGTGAAAAAGAGACCGAACCTGGCGGTTTTTCCACGTCAGATCGCTGCATCCTCTCAGATACGCTTGTGCCAGCCAGTTGCCCTTGACCAAGTTTGGACGAGAAGTTGTGGTTGACCCAAATCTACTCTTACCTGGCAACTGCAACTAGCCAATGACATCGCATTGTCATCGACAGGGAATGTGGATTTGCTCTGGGCGAATACTTCAAGCCTTCCAGCCGCCTGCGCCACAAGCAACGCCGGGGGTCGTGCTGCCACTGCGAGTGGCAGGTGTGGCGGTTGGATCGCTCCGCTTTGGATGCAAGAGGAAGGCGCGCCCCCAAACCCCTCAACCCCCACCCAAAATAGCAGTTCTGCCTCAACCCCACCAGCTCAAAAGACACCTTTGCCACCCTCGAACCCCCCCATAGCCCCGCTGAGAGGAGGACGCTTCTCCATGGAGAAGCCGCCAGCGCCGGAAAAGCTGGGAGCCGAGTTGGTTGAGCCGCCGATGTCAATGGGTCTGGGTGAATTATATCGACCTCACACAACCTCACCCCAAATGGTGGTTTATGTGGGGAATGGCCCCCCAACCACCTTATTTCAGGCCGGTGAAATATGATAATTCACCCAGATGGGTGGCTGGTCGCCCCCCCAAAAGCGGCAGGTTTTCCTTTTGGTTTCCCTTTCAAGCCACAAAAAAGGGGGACACCCTCAAAAAGATACCCCCCCTAAATATGTACTTTTTCATTGGGGTGTGTCTTCTTTTCTTGAGCTGGTGCTCCCCCTGTTTTTGGTTGAAAGGGACACCCAAACGCAACGTCTTTTTTCTTTTCTTTTTTTTTTTGGGGGGGGGGGCGGGGGAGCACTGAGCGAAGGGGATAAACATTGGGACGTACCAAATTACCGTAGAGAAATGGACGTTCAGCCAAATGTCATTGGGGGTACATGTTGACCGATCAGCCAAGCTGTGAGACGATGAAAACGCATGTCCAAACGTATGTTCAGCTGTGCCAGATGTGATTGTTTCAGCCACACACAGTGTTTATGCAAAAAAGCAAAAATGAGGGGGGGGGGGGAGGGGTTGGTCGGAAAGTGCTGTTGTTGGATCCAGGTCGAAACATACAAAGCGCAGACAAATTTCAACGAGCTTACCGATTCGGGGACAATATGAGCTCACCCATCGTGAGACATTTCTTCACTGGGGATCCCCTCATGTCCAATTCGGGAACTACAACGATTTGCCCCTGATCTTCGGGTGCCGAGAAAACTGCTTCGCAGGCCTACTCCCAAACTGATTTCATAGGGATTATCGGACACCCCATGGGCCTGGGGTTCCAACAACTGCTTCAAACGTCGCGAGCTTTGCAAAAAGCGGCCGTCAAAAGCGAGGCCCTGCATCTCTTCTGCCGGCTCCTCCTTGAGGAGTGCAGTCCGACATCGGCCGCTGGCGTCAGCTGGTTGGTCTCTTTGACCGAATTCCCTGAACTTGGCGGTTCCCAGGCGTCCCCTTAGGTTTTTAGGTTTGTAGGGGTTTCGATTTGACCCACAAGTGAAACTTGCAGGGGATCAGTTTGGACAGGCCATTGAGATGCACTTGTTTTCTTCCGCAAGGGATTTTGAACCCCCAGACTAGGTCCCCCAGTAGTGCCCTGTTGCCTTTCTTTGGGGAGGGTTCCCAAAACAGACTACAGAAAAAGGGTACCCTTATTCTAACCTAGCCAAAGGTTGACGATTTTGTGGGCAGGTCAAAAAGCTAAGCAGAAGCTTCGCTCCAGGGGGTGAACAGTTGTTCAGTGGCACCCTTTTCCGTTGTGTTTGGGGGTGAAGCCCCGCACAAAAAAACAAAACACGGCAACCCCAAAAATAGACCTCGCCAGGCTTGGAAATGGTTGCTTCCCACCCAAAAAATGGTTGGTCTCCTTTAAGTTTAACTCCGAAAAACCCACCCTTTTGTGCATTTTGCTTGGATGTTCGCACTTCAACTTTTTGCCAACTCATGGGTTTTCCGTATTAAACCACTAAAAGTTGGTCACTTGTAGCAGGGGAGCAGATTTCGCGACCGAGCACCAACCGGGGCCACCTGCGAGGATCTCGTGGAAGATCCCGGAGGTGGAGAAGGAGGCTGCAACCCCAAAAAAGGGGCACCGGAGAAGGTCGTCTCACTCGAGGCTTCACAGTGTTCTTTTTCTTAACAAACGCATAGATTTTCCTTGTTCAAAAAAAAAAAACAACAAACAAACACATATTTCGCAAAAAGGGTGGGTGTTTGTTTTCTTCTTTTAACAAACCAAACAAACAAACAAACAAACAAACAAACAGAAAACAAACAGACAATCACATATATTTTCCCAAAAGGGTGGTGGGCTTAGACATCCGGTGAGCTTCCTTTCATACAGGTGATGTGTGAAGGCCACTTTTCAGAGGCATCTTTTGAGCCGGGCTGTACTTCGCCTTTGCGATAGCCCACAGTTCGACGCAGAGTTTTCTTGGGGGGAGGGGGAAAGAAGGAGAAGGCCCGAAAGGCAAACAAGTCATTCTGTACAAGCACTGTACCGGGCTGCAATTACCGTAAAGTAGGGTTGCGGAGGACTTGAAGGCAAGATAATTATTTTTGTGTGTTCATGCTTTCAGTTTCTTGGGCATTACTCTCCTGCAGATTCACCGGGATCTTCAACACCTCCGCTTTTGGGCCCGCTTTTTGGGGTTCGTTGTGATTATGCCTGCAGGGCGCGGGTTTAATTGGGAATGTTCTGAGCCCAAACTTGCGTTCTTGGGGTCCTGCAGCATCCTTGGCGTTTTTGTCGGATTTCCTTGCAAACTTTGGGGGAGTTTTGAACGAGGGCTTTGGGTTTCTTGTATCCTGCCTTGATGTTTGCGAGGTGTCTTTTGTTCTTTTCTTGGGTGGTTTCAAGTGGAAACCACAGCAATAACCACGGTTTGTTCGGGAATTGGACCCCCAAAACGGTGGTTGTCTTTTTGGCTTCCCTATAAAACCACAGAAAAACAGGGTACAGTCTCCCACAAAAGACACAACAATTTGTGGTTTTCCCTTTGGTTTACCTGAAAAAAGGGCAGCCGGGTAGCCTTCGCCTCAAGAACGGAGAGCCGGTGGATGCCAACCAAACATTGTTGCAGTAAACCAGGCACATCGCAGAAGGCCATGGCAAGCGCCAGAAGATTCGAGGTTCCCCTTGTTCCCAAGAGCAATCTGGCCGTGAGTCAAAACTGGGAACCCCCCCAAACTGGAACCCTGGCAAATGGCCTGGTAAATGGAAACAAGGACTCAACCAGCAGTCCAATTCCTCGTGGTTTAATTATTTGACCCAGGCCCATGTTTGGGTTGGGAGGGACCTGACGTTTCAAGCGCAGGTGACGGCCTCCACGTTGAAGCTGCGGATACGGGGCAGCACCAGGCGCGCGCTTTTCGGGTCTTTTTCGAGCCGCTTCGTTTGGGCCCAAAAGGGCGGGGCTTTGAATCGAAGGTCCGGGTGGAAAATCTGTCGGGTGGAATCGGGGTCCTCTAGGGGTACCTTCCAATTCCATTTTTTTCCAGGGATCCGAATCTTTTTTTCTTTTCAGGAAACCATCAAAAGCCCATGGGAAACGGAGCCGGTTTTTGAAAAGAACGATGGTTGAAAAGAATGGGGAATCAACCCCTAGAGGTCCGATCCGAAGCCAAAATGGTCCAGAAGAAAGAAAGTGACGATCCAAAAACCCTATGGTGGTATGTCTCAGCGCTTTTGGCGGGGTTCAACCGGAAGCCAAGGAACC